AGGAGACCCAGGAGGACCCACTGCTGACACAGAAATATGGTAGGAGACCCAGGAGGACCCCACCGCTGACACAGAAATATGGTAGGAGACCCAGGAGGACCCCCCGCTGACACAGAAATATGGTAGGAGACCCAGGAGGACCCCACCGCTGACACAGAAATATGGTAGGAGACCCAGGAAGACCCACCGCTGACACAGAAATATGGTAGGAGACCCAGGAGGACCCCCGCCGCTGACACAGAAATATGGTAGAAGACCCAGGAGGACTCCACCGCTGACACAGAAATATGGTAGGAGACCAGGAGGACCCCGCCGCTGACACAGAAATATGGTAGGAGACTCAGGAGGACCCCGCCGCTGACAGCAGTAATATGGTAGGAGACCCAGGAGGACCCCGCCGCTGACGCAGAAATATGGTAGGAGACCCATGAGGACCCCACCGCTGACGCAGAAAATATGGTAGGAGACCCATGAGGACCCCACCGCTGACACAGAAATATGGTGGGAGACCCATGAGGACCCCACCGCTGACACAAAAATATGGTAGGAGACCCAGGAGGACCCCACCGCTGACACAGAAATATGGTAGGAGACCCAGGAGGACCCCCACCGCTGACACAGAAATATGGTAGGAGACCCAGGAGGACCCCACCGCTGACACAGAAATATGGTGGGAGACCCAGGAGGAGCCCACCGCTGACACAGAAATATGGTGGGAGACCCAGGAGGAGCCCACCGCTGACACAGAAATATGGTAGGAGACCCAGGAGAACCACCGCTGACACAGAAATATGGCAGGAGACCAGGAGGACCCCACCGCTGACACAGAAATATGTCAGGAGACCCAGAAGGACCCCACCGCTGACACAGAAATATGTCAGGAGACCCAGAAGGACCCCACCGCTGACACAGAAATATGTCAGGAGACCCAGAAGGACCCCACCGCTGACACAGAAACATATTGGGAGCCAGACTGGAATTTGCCAAAACGTACCTGAGGAAGCCAAAATCCTTCTGGCAGAATGTGCTGTGGACAAACGGAACAAAATTACAACTTTTTGGGAAAGCCCATCATTCTACTGTTTTCAGAAAAAAGCAATGAGGCCTTTAAAGAAAAGAATCCAGTCCCTCCAGTCACACATCGTGGGGGGGGCACTGATGGTTTGGGGTTGTTTTGCTGCTTCAGGCACTGGATATCTTGACCATGTGCATGGTATGATGATATCTGAAGACTACCAAAGAATTCCGGGGTGCAATGTAGGGCCCGGTGTCAGAAAGTTGGGTCTCCATCAGAGGTCATGGGTCTTCCAGCAGGACAATGACCCAAAGCACACGTCAATGGTGGGCACTATTCCTCCCACTAATACCAATGATGATGCACTACTACTCCTACTGAACACTAACCCTGATGTCATGTTTATTCTCATGGATGCTGGGCCCAGGACATTTTCTACCCCTACTGGCTACAATCCGCCACCCCTAAATTCTGAAGGACAGTAAACTGGCCCTTTGTTTGAAAAGTTTGGAGACCCTGGCCTAGTGGGACTTCTGGCACAGGTGAGGCAACAGCAGCAAAAAGACAGAGAGGCCTTTCGGTAGAGGCAACCCCTTGGACCTCTGTGATCCTCAGGTCACATACTGCCGCAGCACCATGCTGATGCTGGAAAAAACCTTGGCAGGGAGGAAGAACTGCAGGTCAGGGGTGCTACGTACGGATATCTCCTGTAGGAATAAAACAAACCAACGCTCAAATCTTCATCCTTCACACTGAAACACGGTGTCTGTCACTTGCTGAGGTGCAGCCCTTTAAAGATTGGGGAATTTTAATGCTACCAAAAGAAAACACAGAAGGGCGCACTCTCCTCCTTGATTACTGTGATAAAAAAATGCATTTATTAACCACATGCCGCCCAGCCACTGTAGAAATACGGCGGCAGGGCGGCACGGCTGGGAAAAGCACGTTCTAAAACGTGTGTTTTGTAAACAGGTAGGGGGCACGCGCGAGGCGCGCCGCCGCCCTACCTGTCCCACCGATCACAGCCGCGGATGTCAGTCGCTGGGTCACAGCCGGTTGTTACCGGCTATGTCCCGGCGATCGGCGGCAATCAGTGACAGAGAGCACAGCTGCAGTAGCTGTGCTTTCTGTCAGTTCCCTGTCAGCTCCAGGGACACGCTGATCAGGACAGAAGTTTCTCTCTCCCGATTGGCGGTGTTCCCTGCAGTACACACCCCGCCCCCTAGTAAAAACACTCCCCCTCACACAGATAACCCTTCCCTGTATAATAAATTTAACCTCTTCCTCCCCAGTGCCATTAGTACAGTGTCAGTGGGTTTTTTTTTTTGCACTGATCACTGAAGTGACCCCAAGTCAGTACCCCCCAATGTCAGAATGTCCACCGCAGTCCCGCCATAAGTCGCTGATCGCCGCCATTATTAGTATAAAAAAACTAAAAATCCCAGTATCTTTCCCGCCATTTGTAAACGCTATAACTTTCACGTAAACCAATTAATTTACACGTATTGGTTTTTTTTTGTAGCAAAGACATGTCGCAGAATGCATTTTGGCAGAAATTTATGACTAAATTTGATTTTTACATTTTTTTTTACTGGACATGTTTTATAGCAAAAAGTCCAAAATATTTTTTTTTACCTCAAAATTGTCAGCCTTTTTGTTTATAGCGCAAAAAATAAAAACCGCACAGGCGATCAAATACCACCGAAAGAACGCTCAATTTGTGGGGAAAAAAAAGGATGTAAATTTAATTTATGTACCGTATTGCATGACTGCGCAATTGTCCGTTAAACTAGCGCAGCGCTGTATAGCAAGAAAATGGCGTAAATTGCATTATCTATACCAGGGGTGGGCAAACTTTTTGACTTGAGGGCGGCAATGGGTTCATATATTGGACCCGGGGGCCGGACCAAGAGTAGATGAATGATGTGTATGTGTCATCCATAGTAAGTATAGTAATATTCCCCATAGTAAGCATAGTAATTAATCCCCCATATAGTAATTCATCCCCCATATAGTAATTCATCCCCCATATAGTAATTCATCCCCCATAGTAATTCATCCCCCATATAGTAATTCATCCCCCATAGTAATTCATCACCCCCATAGTAATTCATCCCCCATATAGTAATTCATCCCCCATAGTAAGTCATCCCCATATAGTAATTCATCCCCCATAGTAATTCATCCCCCATAGTAATTCATCCCCCATATAGTAATTCATCCCCATAGTAAGTCATCCCCCATATAGTAATTCATCCCCCATAGTAATTCATCCCCCATATAGTAATTCATCCCCATAGTAATTCATCCCCCCTATAGTAATTCATCCCCCCTATAGTAATTCATCCCCCATAGTAATTCATCCCCCATATAGTAATTCATCCCCCATAGTAATTCATCCCCATATAGTAATTCATCCCCATATAGTAATTCATCCCCCCTATAGTAATTCATCCCCCCTATAGTAATTCATTCCCCATATTAAGTCCCCAAGTCCCCCCTGTGTCAATTCACTTACCTTTGCTCCGCGCGTTCCTCTCGCCGTGTTCCCGCGCCGTTTCGGTGTAGCATGAAAATCTGTCTCCTATGAGGATCTTTCCCATTCGACGTATCTGCGCATGTGCCAGTTTCAGGCATTAGCAGCCGATCGGCGATCTCCGGCACATGCGCAGATACGTCGAGGGGGACAGATCCTCATAGGAGACAGATTTTCATGCTACACCGGTCTTCAGGGCGGACTGTGAGAGGTGCCTAGCTCCCCTCACGTTCGTCACGCTGCCCCGCCTACACACATCCTGACAGCCATCCTGACAGTATCACGCTCCGTGGGCCGGATTAAAAGGTCCGCCGGGCCGTATACGGCCCGCGGGCCGTAGTTTGCCCATTGCTGATCTATACCATAGATTGTAGACGCTATAACCGTCACACAAACCAATCAATATACACTTATTGGGATTTTTTTTACCAAAAACATGAAAAACTCCCGGTGGGAGGGGCGAAACGCGTCAACGCACTTCCGGTCCAGTATCTGAACGTCCTGCGCAACTTCCGGTGAGTGGAGCGCACGCCCAGTGGTGCGTTTCAGCGGCCATTTTGGGATCTGTATTATACACTGTCATCCTCTGCAAAGTTGAGCTGTGAGGTCTCTGGAATCTATTTGTGGAAATTTATGGTCTTTTCCCTATCGATGGAGGATAATAAAACATGCTTTTATTCTATTTGGAAAATGTGAGTGGTTTGATATACATTTCTAAGGGTTGGTAATAGTTTGGCAATATGATATTTTCTCTTTGACACAACGCTGGAGCTGGTTTGAAGGTCCTGATTTAGAAAGGAGTGGAAGGACAACGCTGGCCCTGTACGGTGGAATGTTGGTCCGGAGGTTATAGAGGGGGGTGTAGGATCCCTGAAATTCCTAAAAAGGCTTACTACTCGCCATTATCTGGTGAGTGCGGTTTATGTTGGTTTGCACTGGTGGAAGGTGGAAGCATATTTGCACAGAAGATTTTTTTCTCTATTTTTTTTTTCTCTTTTTTTTCTTTTTTCTATACACTGTGAAGGCTGGAAAAAGGATTTGCGGACTTTTTAAATTCCTTTATATATAATCTTTATGCACTAAAGTGCTTTGGGCACATTCACATTTGTTATTATTAGAGATGAGCGAATCGAACATGACGAAGTGGAATTCGTTCCGAAGATTTGGAAAAATTGATTCGCGACGAATCCGAAGATTAGCAAACTTCGGATGCACGAATCGAATTTTCCCAAAAATGGCGGCGACATGTGTGGCGACAGGAGAAAATGGACAGAGAAGATGGGGCGGGGATCTCTGGGAAGGCGCGCAGACAAGGCGCGCTGACCCATAATGCATTCATGAGTCATGAATCATGACATGTGATCGCATTAGCCAATCAGCAGCCAGCCAGCACTGTGTAATGGTGGAGCTATAAATCGCGGCCATCTTAGAATTCTCCATTAGCCTCCGGTCATTCAAGAGAGACAGACCTGTCTGTATTAAGGGACAGAGTTAGGGCCACAGAGACTTTAGGGCCACAGAATCGTTACTCAGGGACACAGAATCGTTACTCAGGGACACAGAATCGTTACTCAGGGACACAGAATCGTTACTCAGGGCCACAGCTATCAAAGAATCGAAAATTTAAAGTGACATACACCCTTTTTTTTTTTGGTGGCTGTCGTGCACAGTTGGTGCTGCAGTTTGCCGATTGTGTACAATAAACTGACTTTCTGCTTCACAACCACTATTGTACGTTCAAAGAGTTAGATCCATTTACACGCCGGGTGGCGGTAATATTTTTTGGGTGATTAGTGCATTCCAGTGACAGAAACGTACAGTTTCCAGCCAACGGCAAGCTGCAATTGACCGATTGTGCTAAATAAACTGACTTTCTGCTTCACAACCACTATTGTACGTTCAAAGAGTTAGATCCATTTACACGCCGGCTGGCGGTTTTTTTTTGGGTGATTAGTGCTTATTGACATAAACGTACAGTTTACAGCCAACGGCAAGCTGCAATTGACCGATTGTGCTAAATAAACTGACTTTCTGCTTCACAACCACTATTGTACGTTCAAAGAGTTAAATCCGGTTTTATTTTTGGGGTGCTTAATGAATTAAAGAGTATGTCAGACAACACGCAGAGGAGTGGCAGAGGAGGCAATGTTTCTGGAGCGAGCAGACGTGGCAGCAGAGGAAGGGGTCGAGGCAGCACTAGTCGCAGCCAGAGGCCAGTGCTCCCGGTGTCATCCAGCGGTCGTGTCTCCACCGACAACCCTGCCGTCATTGATTGGTTGACTCGGTCGTCTTCCTCTTCCCAGGTCACCTCTGACACCTACAGCCAACGGTCGGTGGGTACGTCAGACACAACCGTTAGTTGGCATGGCCCGGGAGCAAGCCCACTGAAATCACGTGTCCTCGACCTGCCCCTGTCCTTTGGTGTTCCCTCACCAAGCGAAGTATCGCATGCTGTGGGCTCAGCCCCACTGTACAGTGAGGAAGAGCTAACAGAGGGCGGTCAGGAACGGGGGGAGACATCCGCCTCTTCAGCAGCCAGGCGAAGAAGTACTGGCGAGGAGAGTGGCTCGGTAGCCGGTCTAGAGACAGGTCTGTCTCCTGACCCACACGCAGCCGAGGGGGCTAGTAGTGACGCGGAGACCCTAATTGATGATGATGAGGCTGATCGCACTTGGCAGCCTCGTCGTCATCAGGCTATTGCTTCCGCATCATCAGGAGAAGAGGGTGGCAGCTTGGCAGCGAGCAAAACAGTCGGTGGGTTACCCAGGAGGCAGCAGGGTCGCAGCAGTGTCAGTGGATGCAAACGGCCACGGAGTAGAGCACCAGCTCCACTGCAGCCTACCACCACGGCCAGTAGTGGTGCCGGTGTGCACGGAGGAAGTAGCAGTCAGCCAGTGAGGAGTATCGGGGGCAAAGTTTCCTACTCGGCGGTGTGGCAATTTTTCGTCACGCTGCCCGAGGAAGTAAACGTAGCCGTATGTCGACTATGTGGCCAGAAAGTCAAGCGTGGCCAGGGGGCCCATGTTGGGACTACAGCGTTGCGTCAGCATATGCAGCGTCGCCATTCGGTGGCCTGGGAAAACCGTGATAAAGATACGGCGGTTCTGCCTGCCCCAGCCCCCGCTCCATCACCCGCTCCGTTACTTGCTCCGTCACCCGACGTCAATCGCCCTCTATCAGCCAGTCAAGGCTCCAACACCTCTGCTGAGGGGAGTTGTCGCTCGTTGGCATCTTCCGCTCGTTCAGATGCTCCTTCTCCTGCTACTCCTCTTCACGGATTCCGTCAGCAGTCTTTCTTGGAATCCGTTTCCAAGAGACAACAGTTTGCGAGCACGCACCCGACGGTGCAAAAGCTGAACGTCCTCCTGTCCAAGTTGCTGGTGCTGCAGTCCCTCCCTTTCCAAGTGGTGGACTCAGCACCTTTCCGAGAAATGATGGCTTGTGCCGAGCCGCGGTGGAGAGTGCCAAGCCAGCATTTCTTCGCCAAAAAGGCAGTGCCAGCCCTGCATTCACATGTAGAAGACATGGTGGGCCAGTTTTTGAGCATGTCGGTCTCTGCCAAAGTGCACGGCAGTGCCGACGTGTGGAGCTGTAACTACGGTCAGGGACAGTACATGTCATTTACGGCCCACTGGGTGAACGTGGTGCCGGCACAGCCGCACCAGCAACTTGGACAGGTCACGCCGCTTTTGCCTCCACGTTTGCACGTCCTCGGTCAGCAGCAAAGATGTCCGCCTCTACCACCTCTTCTTCCGCCGTGTCCTCAGCCGCCACGCCCGTGCCAAGTCCCATTACCCGACCGGCATATCACATGTGCAGGGCGCAACGGTGTCACGCTGTGCTGCACCTGGTATGCCTTGGCGAACGTAGTCACACAGGGGAGGAACTTCTGAGTGTAATGAACAGAGAAATCGACAGATGGCTGTCTCCGCGCAAACTGAAAATCGGAACCATGTTGACCGACAACGGAAAGAACATGGTGTCTGCTCTGCGTCAAGGAAGGTTGTGCCATGCGCCATGCATGGCTCACGTGTTCAATCTGGTTGTCAAGCGGTTCCTAAAATCCACCATCCCACTGCAAGACATCCTTAAAATGTCACGTAAACTTTGCATGCATTTCAGCCATTCCTACACCGCAAAGCACACCCTCCTTGAGCTGCAGCGGCAGAACGGAATTCCACAGCATCGCCTGATCTGCGACGTTGCAACAAGGTGGAATTCAACCCTACATATGTTAGACCGCCTTTACGAACAGCGAAAGGCCATCACCGATTTCCTGATGTTACAAGCGGATAAAGGTACTCCCCTGTGTAACTTAGATGTCAGCCATTGGCAGCTCATGCGTGACACCTGCCGCTTGCTCAGGCCCTTTGAGGAGGCCACGCTATTCGTGAGTCGGCAGGACTATGGGATGAACGACGTCATTCCTCTGTTGCACGTCCTGGAACAAATGCTGTTAACAATGGCTGGTCAGGGTGCGGTAGACGTGGCGCACAGATCTCAACGCCACATGACCCCTGTGGGGGCAGGACAGGAAGAAGAGGAGGAGGTAGAGGAGGACATTGGTGCTCAGGAATTATTGAGTGAAATGGGTGGTTTTTCCACTCAGCGGACAGGAGTGGAGGAGCAGGAGCATCTGGTAGAGGAGGAGGAGGAGACAGAGGACCCAGACGCACCGTGGCAGTATGCTGTGGAGATGGAGGCAGGGAGTCCCTCGCATTCCTTGGCACAAATGGCCCATAGCATGCTCGGTTGCTTGCGTAGCGACAGCCGAATAATAACCATCAGACAGAGGGATGACTTTTGGCTGTCCACCTTGTTGGACCCTCGCTACCGTTAAAAATGGTGGCCTTTTTCACACCTGCTGAGAGGGAGGCCAAAATAAAGTACTATAAAAACCACCTATGTAGTCATGCAGTATATAGCCCTATCGGCCACTTTCTGGCATCCAGTTGCTGTAGCCCCCATCACCACACTGTGCCACGGGCCCCTGTACCGCCTTCTCATACTGCTGCCAGATCCATCCTCTGCCATGTGCGTCTTTGTCGTCTGCTCACGCTGCTGGGTTCCAGTTTTAAACCTAGGCCTGTGTATGGCTTCCGAATACTGCTGCCTCCACCGCCACCCTGCGCCATGTGCCACTTTCAGGTCTCCTTACACTGTTGGTGGGTTCAATTTTGTGATAGGGTGCTGTATGGCCTTCCATTGCTGCTGCCTCCACCGCCACCCTGCGCCATGTGCCTCTGTCGTCTGCTCACGCTGCTGACGGCTTCCGCTTTTTAACCAAGGCCTGTGTTTGGCTTCCGAATACTGCTGCATCCACCGCCACCCTGCGCCATGTGTCTCTGTCGTCTGCTCACGCTGCTGACAGCTTCCGCTTTTTAACCTAGGCCTGTGTATGGCCTTCAATTGAAGCTGCTTCTGCTCTGCCACTCTGCCATTGGACTCTTGATAGTCGTCTCCCCACGCTGCTGCTGGGGGGACTTTTTAACATAGGCCTCTGTATGGCCTTCAATTTTAGCTGCTTACGCTCCGCCACTCTGCCATGGGCCCCTGTACCGCCTCCTCATGCTGCTGCCAGGCCCGTAATCTGCCATGGGCCCCCGTACCGACTCCTCATGCTGCTGCCAGGCCCGTAATCTGTCATGGGCCCCTGTACCGCCTCCTCATGCTGCTGCCAGGTCCAGAGTGTGTCATGGGTCCCTGTACGGCCTCCCATTGCTGCTGTCTCCATCGCCACACTCTGCCATGTGCCACTTTCAGGTCTCCTCACACTGCTGGTGGGTTCCATTTTGTCATAGGGTGCTGTATGGCCTCCCATTTGCTGCTGCCTCCACCGCCACACTGTGGCTCCACACTCTGGTTTTGGCCCCGTGACTGCCCAAATGAGTGAAGTGTGCGGTGATTCTAAATCGACGGCACTCATCTGCATGTCATACTGACTGACAGTATTATTTCTCTTCCCCAGCAGACTCCAAGGGCATTTAAATTAAAGGTACAGTGTTCTGCACTAATATAAAGGCTCTCTGAAGCCTAGAAACACCCTTTTTATAAGTTAAATTCGCAGTGAATATATTCGGCACGAAGCGAATTTAATCGGCGAATTCGGCGAATCAGCCGAACCGAATTTTTGAATAATTCGCTCATCTCTAGTTATTATCATTGTATATACATTTTTTAAGAGTGTCACACGTATGGGTAATTTTCTTCACATTTATGTATTTAGTGTGATTTAAGTGATTGGTATAGGTATTATTTGCGCTGGTTAATTTTGTTTTTGATGTAGCAGAATACATTTTGGCCTAAATTTATAACCAACTTTGAGTTTACTATATATTTTTTATTGCTAAAAGTAAAAAATATTGTTTTTCTTCAAAATTTTTGGCCTTTTTTTGTTTATAGAGTGAAAAATAAAAAGCGCACAGGTGATCAAATACCACCGAAAGAAAGCTCTATTTGTGTGAAAAAAAGGACGTAAATCTCGTTTGGGTGCAGCATTGCATGACCGCGCAATTATCAGTTGAATTAGTGCAGCGCCGAGTAGCAAAAAGAGGCGTGGTCATTAACCATTAGCCGCCCGGCCAATGGCCGTTTGGCGGCTTCAAAAGTGGTTCGGCATTCCGGGTGGACGCCATTTGGCGTGCTCCCGCACATGTGCAGTTTGCACTAATGCAGAGCCGCGCAGCGGTGCGACCTGTCACCGGCCGTGTACCTCGGACACGGCCCATGACAGATCTGAGTACCGGCCCCCCGTTGCTAGTACCATGTGACCTGCTGTGACCAATCACAGCAGGTCACATGACAGTTGTATACAATGGATGGCTTCATTCATGCCATCCATTGTATACTAGTGCCTAGCTGTGAATGGTCATGTGATTAGCAAATCACAGCTAAGCAAAAAAAAAAAAAAAAACCCTGAATGAATCGATTTCATTCAGGTAAATGCTTGCTTATAGCAAAGTAATTCTTTGCTATAAGCAAATTGTGTAAAAAAAAAAAAAAAAAATACTGATCACTTCCCCAAAGTAGTACAATGTTACTATGGTAACATTGTACTACTTTGGTCATAGTAAAATATGAAAAAAAATCTAGAAAAAATCATTAAAAAAAGTAATAAAAAATAAATAATAATAATAAAAAAAAAAATATATATATATATATATATATTTTTTTTTTTTTCATACTGTCACCAGTCAGTGTCCCTGTTCACCGCCATGCCAGTTATATGATGACGCTGTACTGCACTGGTGACAGTATGTAAAAAAAAAAATAGTGAAAATAATTTTTTTAATTTTTTCATTTTCTGAAAAATTATGACAAAAAAATACAACTTCAAAAAACTCGCCATGCCTCTTATGAAGTACGTCGGACTGTCTACTCTGCAAAAAGGGGTCATTTGGGGATATCTGTACATTTCTGACATTCTTGGACCTCAAGAAATTAGATTGGCTGTCAGTACTTCAGGACTGATCAATATTCAGATCTATACCATAGTTTGTGAACTCTATAACTTTCCTACAAACTGAATAATACATCCTAATTTGGGTTATTTTCACCAAAGACATGTAGCAGAATACATCTCGGCCTAAATTTATGAAGAACAATTATTTATTTGTAAACTTTTATAACAGAAACAAAGAAAAACGTGTGTTTTTTTCAAAATATTTGGTCTTTTTTTGTTAATTTAGCAAAAAATAAAAACCCCGGCGGCGATTAAATACCACTAAAAGAAAGCTCTAGTTGTGTGAAGAAAATGATAAAATTTTAGTTTGGGTACAATGTTGTATGACCGCGCAATTGTCATTCAAAGTGTGAGAGCGCTGAAACGTGAAAAATGGCCTGGGCAGGAAGGAGGAAAATTGCCCGGTATTGAAACGGTTAAGGGGGGTAAATCCTCAGGAGGGCAAGTGGTTAAAAAAGTAACAAGTGCATACTCACAAAACAAGGATCATAAAAACAGACAAGGTGCCAAATGTATCAGTTCCAGACAAGAGGAAGGAAGAGTCTTTTCTTATTCTGCACAAGGATAAAGTGGTTTTGAGACCTAAACCTTTTCTTATGAGGGAGGTCTCTTCTTCTCACCACATTGAGGTAAAGGACACCTTGCTTCCTTCTCCAGGTGGATCAGACAACACATTTCCAGAGCCTATGCCCTTAAGGAAACATTCCAAGGTTCCTTCCTTATCATTCAAAGCTCATACCTCTGGGCTGTTGCTGTCACTTTAGCTTTTCAATATCAAGCATCTCTATACAGGGGCGGACTGACAACTCATGGGGCCCCGGGGCAATAGGAGATCATGGGGTCCCTGTGTCCTTGCCCACACTCAAAAAAGCCTATGAAAAAGGTACCAGGGGCATCTCATGGGGCCCCCTACTGACTCCGGGCCCTCGGGTAGTGCCCGAGTTTCCAAATGGTCAGTCCGCCCCTGATCCCAAATTTGCAGGGTTGCTACCTGGTCCCCTGTTCACATATTTCTTGTACATCCAGTTAGTAGAACTAGAACTCAGGTGATGCCAGATTCGGCCGTATAGTGCCTTAAGCTGTTTATACACGGCTCAGAAAAAAGTGTTACAATACACCTCCCGTTTGATTTGTAGACCGATCATTTCTTTGTGAGGGGCAAACATTAAAAATCAGCAGGGGGTCAAATACGCATTTCCTTCTCTGTACGTTATCCGGTATAGGTGTGAACAGAGCCTAAGACCCTTGCGACTTGCAAATCGCACGCCAAGTCGCACCATATTGTCCGCAATTACAGGGTCAAATCGGTGCGCTTCCCAATTGGTCGGAGCCGCACCGATTTCTAAAGTTAATACTTGCACTACTTTTGGTGCGATTTGCATAGACATCTGGGTCAGATGTCTTGCATATCGCAACTGAAATCAGCAGGTCACCCAACTTTGAAATCGTGCGACTTCACTGAAAGTCACACGATTTCAAAGTCAGGCTTGATGTGAAAAAAAAAGAACTGAACAAAACACAAATCGTGGCAAAAATGCATGTAGAAAAAAGCAAAACGAACTGCGAAAAGCACTGCAAAGCGGGCAAAAAAAAAACAAACTGCATAGGTGTGAATGGAGCCTAAGACCCCGGACGCACTGGGTGTGACTCGGCATGCGATTTGCATGCCATGCAACTTGCAAATTGCGAGCCAAGTTGCACCCTATTGTCTGTAATTACAGCGGTTATATCAGTGCGGTTCCCACCTGGTCGGATCCGCACCGATTTCCAAAGTAGCGCATTCACTACTTTTGGTGCATATGTGTCAGATGTCTGGCAAATTGCACCTCAAATCGCAATGACATCCCAACTTGTACGGGTTACAGTGAAGTTGCATGATGTCAAAGTCAGGATGGATGCAGGGGTGGACTGACCATTTGGAAACTCGGGCACTGCCCGAGGGCCCAGGGTCAGTAGGGGGCCCCATGAGATGCCCCTGGTACCTTTTTCATAGGCTTTTTTGAGTTTGGGCAAGGACACAGGGGCCCCATGATCCCCTATTGCCCGGGGGCCCCATGAGTTGTCAGTCCCCCCCTGGATGAATGTGACCGGGGTGGAAAGCATTTCCAGGAGTTATAGCATTTTGCCATCATTGTTGCTCCTAGTCATCAAGTCTCGATGTGTGATGATGCCGTATCGCCCCCCCCCCCCCCCACATCGGCTATTTGAGGCTCTACGTTGGTCCCGGTGACAAGGATTCCCGTAATCCTGACGCGGTTCAGTTAATGCCGGGTTCCGTGGGCCGTAATGGATCGGTCCTCTGGGATCTGCTAGTACCAGTGTCCTATTTAGCCCTCCCCATTCTGCCGCCCTGACAGCGATGCTAAGTATAGCAGGCAGCTGTACATGCCATGGGCCTGAGGAAGACTCAAATATAGAACGGCCATCACCGGGAGCCATGTGCCGGGACAGTAAAGACAGCAGAGATTACACGATGCCGGACAATTGCTGCAAGTCAGACGTTTGACTAAAAGGTGTCTGTAGACGTTGGATGACAGCTTCATCAGCTGCTTGTTTGTCGGGTCGATCAAAAAGTGAACTAATGTCACCCCAACGGCCTTCAGGCTCCATACACACTAGTGGTTATTAAGCTCCTAGAAGCTGTTGACAGAATTTTTCTTTTTCTTCTCCTAGAAGCTAAATAGTGTTATCGTACAAGCGCCTTGAAAAAGTCTTCACACCCCTTGAAATGTTCCCCATTTTGTCAGGTTACAACTAGAGATGAGCGAATTTTTCAAAAATTCGATTCGGCTGATTCGGCGAATTCCAGGAAGAAATTCGATTCGATGCGAATTAATTCGCTACGAAGTTAACTTATAAAAAGGGTTTCTAGGCTTCAGAGAGCCTTTAAATTAGTGCAGAACACTGTACCTTTAATTTAAATGCCCTTGGAGATGAGGAAGGAGAAGGAGAAGGATGAGAAGAAGGAGAAGGAGAAGGATGAGAAGAAGGAGAAGGATGAGAAGAAGGAGAAGGAGAAGGAGAAGGAGAAGGAGGAGAAGGATGAGAAGAAGGAGAAGGAGAAGGATGAGAAGAAGGAGAAGGAGAAGGATGAGAAGAAGGAGAAGGAGAAGGATGAGAAGAAGGAGAAGGATGAGAAGAAGGAGAAGGATGAGAAGAAGGATGAGAAGAAGGATGAGAAGAAGGACAGTTCTGTGACAGTTTCTGTCTATTTCTGACAGTTCTGTGACATTCACTCCATACAGCGGTTGAAACATTGTATCTATTTGTTTCCATAAATGACATTCTGCAGATACACTTAGAGGAGCTCTGCAGATATACACTTTTTGCCGGCTTGGAATTATTCTTATTTTCATCCTACTTCTTCTTCTTCTTCTTCTTCTTCTTCTTCTTCTTCATCCTCATCCTCTTCTTCTGAGGATGAGGATGAGGATGAAGAAGTAGAAGAAGAAGAAGAAGTAGGATGAAAATAAGAATTCCAAACCGGCAAAAAGTGTATGTGCAGAGTTCCTCTATTTCTGACAGTTCTCTGACAGCTTCTTCACATGTACAGCGGTTGAAACATCTGTATCCTAAATGGAAACTAATAGATACAATGTTTCAACCGCTGTACATGTGTTCCTTCTGTCAGAGAACTGTCAGAAATAGCGGAGCTCTCTGCAGGGACACTTTTGCCGGCTGATCGGGAAAAATCCGATTCGCGCACCCGAAGTAGGCAAATATTCGGATTCGACGCGAATCAAATTTTTCCTGAAATTGTATCGAATTCCGGTTCGCCTGGTTCGATTCGCTCATCTCTAGTTACAACCAAAACGTCAATGTATTTTATTGGGTTTGGATGTGATAGACCGACACAAAGTGGCACATAGTAGGGAAGTGGAAGGAAAATGAGAAAAGGTTTTCAAACTTTTTTTGGTGAAAAAAACACTAAAAAAACGCAAACGCGGGAAAACGCGGCTACACACTAATGCAAAAACGCTACAAAAAAGCTGAAAAACTGATGTTTTTAACGTGAATTTACCAACGTTATCAAAATGCCCCGTGTGCTTGGAGCTTAAAATCGAATGTGGAAGGGAGGCCGCACGGGCCCCCTGGAGCATGGGGCAGGGAACCCGCAGGTCCACTGAGCTGCATCCATGGATCAGTATGAAAGCAGCCGAATAGTTGTGAACCCTTTTAAAAGTGCTATATGCCCATTGCAAAAGCGCAGTGTATGTAGTGTTTAATCCACGGACCTCTTTTCCTCTCTCCAGGCTACTAGACAGGTGCCAGGTGAAGTCCACTCGGTATCACTCCACCTGGGACAGGAGCCGGTACTACAGAGGAAGCATCGGCTTGAGGCTCCTGCTCTCCGCATGTTTCCTGGGATGACAATCAATGGGTTGCCGACTCCAGGCATGTGCTTCCTGGTTTGAGGTCAAGGGCCACATCAGAGGGCTCCGAGGGTCACATGCTGCCCATGGGCCACAGGTTGAGCACCCCTGGATTACAATATGAATGGCTACAGAACTAATGAGAGGAGACTAGTGTAGTAGCTGGCGTGTGTTGATGTGATTTTGCGAATGACGGCGCTCTTCTCCTGCGCCGTCATTCACCGCAATACAAAACGACAGTTACTACAGCAGTCTCTCTCCTCCGCAAGTGCAGGCAGTTGGTGGGTCTGGGCTCAATAGCAGTGGCAGTTTGAGTTGAGTTGAGCTAATCTTAGATTGATCCAATTGTCTGGCATGGTCTGACAGATGTGGAGGGACAGGCGAGCTGACTGACCACGCTGCACAGCAACCACTGCAGAGATTTAAAGGTGACCACATGCTATGTGCACTGGGCTAGTTATAAATTGGGGAGGTTGCCATTTCTGTTTGACTTGCCGTGGGTTCCTTTTTAGGGAGGAATGAGCTGCCTCCAGACATGCCTACCCTATATCATCCATATATGCTCCAACATGGAGGCTTCCGTAGACTAGAGCAGCATTTTTCAACCTTTTTCAGTCCAGGCACCCTTTAAAATCATGGACAGTCTTGAGGCACCCCATGGTAAAATATGAAAAACTATTCTAATAGTTTTATATAACACAGTAACATCCACACATGTAGGACACCCAACAGAGGTGAATTATTCTTCAAATACACTTTTGCACACTGGTACTGACTAGTATTCCATTGTTTCTCCTCTCGCTCAGTTTTTCTCCATCACTGAGCTAATGTGACCCCAGCATTGATGGAAAGGGGCGGGGGAGGGTCAAACTAGGATGCTGTGCAGGCAACCGACATCCTCCTTATCAACTGATGATGTCATTGGTTGTCAGGATGCCGGCGGCTAGAAGGTTGTAATGGCGCACAATGAAAACCTGTGGCTTTGTGTAACTAGAAGGCCGGCTTGTTCCACCCACTGGCTGTTATACACATTTTGGGCAATTTTTAGACATTTTGCCAAGGCACCCCTGAGGAAACTTCAAGGCACTCCCGGGTGCCTGGGCACCCTGGTTGAGAAAGGCCGGACTAGAGTTAAGAGTGCACTCTTTAGAGAGGCTTCCATGAGGCATTTCGGCTTCCAAATAATATTTCCAAATGTTGTGCAACTAAAACCTGTTTTTAACACTAATTGTCAGATATTGTAGATATAGCACCCTCTAGGTAGATAGGCTTTTCTGTTTTGTTAGACAGAGGCTGGGTAGCAGCCTGTGATGAGTCAACCTAGGAGTGAGGGAGTTCACCTCAGGACAGGCTGGGAGGTTCTACAGGTCAGGGCTTCTGGAGCCCTCCCACCCTTCCAGAAACTGAGAGAACTCTCTGGAAGAGGGGTGAAGGAGGGGAGGAGGCCCAGATCTGCATGTTTGAGGGACCCTGGCCAATCCGCAGGTAAGAAGCCGGGCATGGTGACCGAGGACAACCCTTAAATTGGTTAGAGCCTGAGCAGCACGGGACTCAGGTGGAAGATGGATTGAGAGAAGGCTGGAGTGTGGAGCCTGGGAGGGGGCCCCAGGGAGGGTAACCTACCTACAGGCTGGTCTCAGGGTGGGAGGATCTCCACTGCCTAAAGTCTCCTATAGAGGACATCCTGAGCAGCAGCGAAGGAGCCAGCCCAGCGAAAAGCCCGAAAGCAGCTACCAACCTACCATGTTGACAGGACAGGACAGTTTGAGTACTCCTACACCCCCTGGGCCAGATAAGGGGAGAGGGTGGTCAGGTGCAATACCCAACTAGTTCTCATCCGGGACTGCTTAACTGCTAGATCTTGGAATCCTTGCCCAGGGATGCTTCAGTGCAGCCGGGTGAAGCGGAAAGATTCATCTGGGATCTGAGGAGGTACACCAAGGGGACCTCAGTGCTCCTTAAAGAGACAGTCGCTATTTTTGCAGATCCACATTATTGTACTTAGAAGTTTACCCTGAAGTTTAATTCCGTGGGCGTCCCATATACTTCTAGACCCCATGCAAGTTATTAACCCCTTAATAAAAAAACAACTAAAAACCAGCTCAACGATTGTTTACTGACTCTGAATGTACGAGCGTGGAAAAATGTGTGTTGCCTGGCCATGCAGAGCTTAGGGGGACCCAAAACAAGTCCATCGGCCCTTATGAGGGTAGTGCTACATATATATATTTTTTTTGGCTAGGTGGTAAATGTGCTGGGAAATACATTGGAGCTGATTTACTAAATGCAAATAGACTGTGCACTTTGTGAGTACAGTTGCTCCAGAGCTTAGTAAATGAGGTAAAACTTCAATTTGCAAAGAATGCCCAATCACGTGTAAGGGAAAAAAAAAAAACAACATTATTGTTGCACATGATTGGATGATGGAAGTCAGCAGAGCCTCACCTCATTTATTAACCACTCGCCTACCAGGCACTTATACCCCCTTCCTTACCAGGCCAATTTTCAGCTTTCAGCGCTGCCGCACTTTGATTGACAATTGCGCGGTTATGCAACATTGTACCCATATGAAATTTTGATCATTTTTTTCTCACAAATAGAGCTTTCTTTTGGTGGTATTTAATCGCCACTGGGCGCTTTACTTTTTGCGCTATAAATTAAAAAAAGTGCAAAAAATTGGGCACTGATAGGCGGCACTGATGGGCACTGATAGGCAGTACTAATGAGGTGGCACGGATAGGCGGCACTGATAGACAGCACTAATTAGGGGTCACGGATAGGCGGCACTGATATGCAGCACTGATAGGCGGCACTGATAGGTGACATTGATGATGGGTACTGATAGACGGCACTGACTGGCATCACTTCTGGGCACTGACTGGCGGCACTGACTGGCACAACCCCTGGGCACTGACTGGTGGCACTGACTGGCAGCACTGCTGGGCTGCACTGGTGGGTGGCACTGGTGGGCAGCACTGGTGGGTGGGCACAGGTGGGTGGCACTGGTGGGCACAGGTGGGTGGCACTGGTGGGCACAGGTGGGTGGCACTGCTGGGCACATGTAGGTGGCACTTTTGGGCACAGGTAGGTGGCACTGCAGAGTGGCACAGGTGGGTGCACTGCTGGGCACAGGTGGGGGCACTGCTGGGCACAGGTGGGGGCACTGCTGGGAACGGGTGGGCGGGGCTAGTGGGCGCACTGCTAGGCGGAACTTGCGGGTGTCACTGCTGGGCACCGATCATCAGGGCACTGATCATCAGTGCCCTGATGATCGGTGCCGATCCCCGCTCTGACAACTGCCGGTTCTCGGCAGTACTTTCCTCACGATCTGACAGCGTGAGGAAAGTGCAGCCGGGAACCGGCACTTGCATTTCCCTGTGATCAGTGTGTCATTGGACACCGCTGATCACGTGGTAAAAGGCCGGTGGGATCGGCCTTTCACCACATCACGTGATCAGCTGTGTCCGTAGGACACAGCGATCACGGAGATCGCCGGGTGCGCGCCCCCTGGGGCGCGCAGGAGAGCGCGTTCTGGGAGGACGTCATATGACGTCCACTCAGAACTGGCCGGCCGCGGTGAAGCCATCATTCGGCTATGCGCGGTCGGCAAGAGGTTAAGCTCCGGAGCAACTAATTGGCTTTAGTATACAGTTACATAGTTAGTCTGGCTGAAAAAAGACAAAAGTCCATCCAGTTCAACCATTAAAAAAAAAAAAAAAAAAGTTATAATCCTACACCCACAGTTGATCCAGAGGAAGGCAAAAAAAACCAGCAAAGCTGATCCAATTTGCTCCTGCAGGGGAAACAATTCCTTCCTGATCCCCCGAGAGGCAATCGGATATTCCCTTGATCAACTTTACCTATAAATGTTATATCCAGTTATATTCTGTGTATCCAAGAAAGAATCCAGGACTTTCCTACAGCAATTCACTGAGCTGGCCACAACCAACTCTTGGGGGAGTCTATTCCACATTCTCACAGCTCTTACTGTGAAGAAACCTTTCCTTGTTTGGAGATTAAATTTCTTTTCCTCCAGAAGTAAAGAGCACCCCCTTGTCCCCTATTGCTTTGTATGCTAAGTGCTCTTGGTCCAAAAAGCAGGAAGAGCCGGAAACTCCACAATCCTAAAAGCTTTATTAGTGATACAGGAGTCCCGCTGGTGCGTTTCGGCGAGTAGCTTTGATCACAGCATAGTGCTTAATAAAAGAAAACACATATGGTGCTCTGGGTCCCTTAGATATTCAACAAGGGTTTTATTCTTCTGTCTATACTTCTTCTTTGAAGCTGAGCTCCAAGAATCTTGAAATTTCTCCATTGCAGCGGGGCTGCTGCACCTGCACCGAAAGAGAGAGCGGCTTGTTTAGGTCTGCTGAGCAAGAAAAGTAGATTTATTTACCCAATCCTCTGCTCCTCTGTACTGCTGGGCCAGTCTCTGCAGCATCTTCTCCACCATGCTTCAGTGGTCCAAGGTCCTGACATCATCAACACGTACAGTATGTAGGCCTTTATTAAGCATGAAACCGCCAAGGGACAATCCACTGTCAGAAGATGGGGGAGTGTTGTCTGCTCGGAAAGTGGAAGATCAGGTAAGTAAAAGTTATTTTTGTAGCCCTTAGGATAAATGGTCGGTTAACTTTTACAGTGCAGTTGCAGCCGCACCGTAAGGAGAATCTTCAGGTTTCCTAGAGTTGGACTTTAAGCAGGTCAGTCATACAGTCATAGCCAAAAATTATTGGCACCCCAGCATTTCTGTCAGATAATGCTCAACTTCGCCCAGAAAATTGTTTCAATTACAAATGTTTTGGCATTCTCATGTTTATTTCTTTTGTTTGTATTGGTGACACAAAAAAGCAGATAAACAAAAAGCCAAATCTGACACATTCCACGCAAAACCCCAAAAATGGACCGGACAAAATTACTGGCACTTTCTCAAAATTGCAAGAAATAATTGCATTCTGAGTTTGTGATGCTCCTGTAATTTGTAATTAAACTCACCTGTATCCATTAATAGATCTTAATGTTCCTGTGTCCACTGTGCACAACATTGTCAAGAAGTTTACAGCCTATGGCACTGTAGCTAATCTCCCTGGACAAGAGAGAAAAATTGCTCAAAGATTGTAACGAAGGATTGTTGAAGCAGTGGATAAAGAACCTCCATCAACTTCCAGACAAATTCAAGCTGACCTTCAGGCACAGGGTACACCTGTGTCAACTTGCACTATAAGTCGCCATCTGAATGAAAAGGGACGCTATGGTAGGAGACCCAGGAGGACCCCACTGCTGACACAGAAATATGGTAGGAGACTCAGGAGGACCCCACTGCTGACACAGAAATATGGTAGGAGACCCAGGAGGACCCCACTGCTGACACAGAAATATGGTAGGAGACCCAGGAGGACCCCACCGCTGACACAGAAATATGAAAAGTCCAGATTGGAGTTTGCCAAAACTTACCTGAGGAAGCCAAAATCCTTTGGGGAGAATGTGCTGTGGACAGACGAAACAAAAATGGCAGCTTTTTGGTAAAGCCCATCATTAATCAATTACACAAAGAAAATGTCAATGCAATGCCCTCGATCCCCTCATGTTTTGCATTGTTTTGGTATTGTTCTGTCACATGTTCTGTCTCCCTTTGTAATGTACAGCGCTGAGCGAACTATTGGCGCTTTATAAATACTGTATAATAATAATAATAATAAAAAAGCCCCCAGAAATGTTTTCAGACAAAGCGCTGGAGAGGACTGAACTGGCCAGCAATGAGTCCAGATCTCCATCCCATAGAGCTCCTGTGGAGAGATCTCAGAACATCATTTGGGAAAAGGAACCCTTCCAATCTGAGAGACCTGGAGCAGTTGGCGAAAGAAGAGCGATCCAAAATTCCAGTAGAGAGGTGGAAGAAACTCATTGATGGTGACAGGAAGCCATTGATTTCAGTTATTTTTTTCCAAGGGGTGTCCTACCAAATATTACATTGAGGGTGCCAATAATTTAGTCCAGTCCATTGTGGTTTTGCATAGAATGTGTCAGATTTGGCTTTTTGTTTCTCCACTTTTTTGTGTCATACCAATACAAACAAAAGAAATAAACAGGAGAATGTTGAAACATTTGTAATTGCAACACTTTTCTGGATGAAGTGGTGCATTATCTGACAGAAATGCAGGGGGGGGCAAGATTTTTGGACATGACTGTATTTTAAAATCATCCACCCCCCAAACTAAGTAGAAAACACCCTCTAGCTCATGTGCACATCTATATTCCTTGTTGATAAGGACCATGAAACTTTCACAAATGTCTACTGACTAGAACTGGAATCTGGAGTGGAATTTTGGCCTGGTGCCCATTGATACACCCAGATTTCCAGAGATAATGGGGATCATTCAAGCAAAGAAACATAAAATTGGAATTATTGCCAGCAGGACCAATCATATTTTTTGTTTTATTAGAAGAAAAAAACCCAGGTTGGACATTGTCGCCAATCACTATTCATAGCTTGGCCCAACATTCGGGCACGTGTGATGGAACATTCAGGATCTCGATAGAGCATTCTATAAGAGGCTTCTATTACAAAGGTGACAACAGAAGACATTTCGGCCTTTGAGTCATGAATCTGGATCAGATCCCTAGAATAGTTTCAATGTGAAAACTTGTCACAGCCCTTCTTGGTAACAAGGAGCTGGGTAAGGCCTCAGACTTCCAGTGATGAGTCACGCTTGAACGGAGTATGTCTGGTGTTCCCTCCTGCTGAAGGCAGCTGTCCCATCTAGTTGTCCAATGTGTCACGTCAAGGAGTGATCACATTACAGTCACAATTCCACTGCTTTGTAATGTTGTTGCTATATATATATATAGACAGGCAGCTGATGAGAGTAGTCAGCTGTAAAGCAAGACTTGGTGTTGGAGTGTTGGGTTAGAGGTAGGAAAGTTCTTTCTGAGATTCATTCTCATCAGTGGAAAGACCTGTCTGCCCAGGCTCTGTGGGCATAGAGAAGATACTGATCCTCCTTTGAAGATGGCACTTCCTGTTCAACAAGCTGAAGAGCTGAGGCTCTACCAGCAAACACTTCTTCAAGATGGGCTGAAGGATATGTTAGACCACAATAAATTTATAGATTGTGTTTTGCGGATCCAAGGAAAGGAATTCCCTTGCCACCGACTGGTCCTGGCAGCCTGTAGCCCGTACTTTCGGGCCATGTTCCTCTCGGACTTAGAAGAAAGCAAGAAGAAGGAAATCGACCTTGAAGATGTGGATCCTGATGTGATGGGGAAGATCCTTCACTACATCTACACTTCAGAGATCGAGATCACTGAGAAAAACGTCCAGGATATATTTTCAGTGGCCAACATGTTTCAGATTCCTTCCATATTCACTGTGTGCGTATCATTCCTTCAGAAGAAACTGTGTCTTAGTAACTGCTTGGCTATCTTCCGACTGGGCCTTATGTTGGATTGTCCTCGCCTGGCGGTCTCCGCACGGGACTTCTTGTGCGATCGTTTCAACCTGATCACCAGGGACGAGGAGTTCAGCCAGCTCTCCCCTGATGAACTTATTGCTGTTATCTCCAGTGACTCCCTTAACGTGGAGAAAGAAGAGGACGTATTTCAGGTGGTCATGAAGTGGGCAGCTAAGGATAAAGAGAACCGCGTCAAGGCCTTGCCGGTCATCTTTGAAAGCATTCGGTTCCGTCTGATATCAGAAGACTACATCAAGAACAAGGTGGAGAAACATGAACTGGTCAAGTCCAACTCTGAACTCTTGAAAAAGCTTCAGATGGTGAAAGACGCTCAAGGCGGCAAACTACCGGTGGTCAAAAAGAAAGAAGCACAGCAGAGCAAAGATGGAGAGAAAGTTGTCAATGGTGATGTGGAGGAGGATGAAGAAGTCCTACCAGGAATTCTAAATGACACTCTGAGATTTGGCATGTTCCTGAAGGACCTCATATTCATGATCAGTGACACTGGAGCAGTGGCCTATGACCCAAATGCCAATGAATGTTTTTTTGCCTCGTTGTCTGCTCAGATCCCAAAGAATCATGTCAGTTTGGTCACAAAAGAGAACCAGATTTTCGTGGCTGGTGGACTTTATTACAATGAAGACAACAAGGAAGAGCCACTGAGTTCCTACTTCTTGCAGGTAAGCTTTACAGTGGTGTGCGATGAAATGAAACTTGTTATGCTTGTATGCAAAGCATTTTCCAATGCCTCTTATCCGACCCGAGACCATATACATGCTCATTGCTCAGTACACATACGTGTGCCTGTAAAGTCCCCCTGAAGTATCCGCAATACCTGGTGGTGCAGGGTGTAGTTTTGAGCAGGCATGTGCTTCACAAAGGAATAACCAAGGTCAATAAGGAAGTGGTTAGAATCTGGTCTGAACATGTATGAGGCATCATATGTATCCTTCTAATACGTTTTGAGATCCTTTATAAAATAATGAAATAAATATAGTATATAGTATAGTTGTTGCCCATAGCAACAAACCACACCTTAAAGGAGAATTCCGGGCAAAAGGTTTTTTTTTTCTGTGTCCACACTGCACGGGTTTACTTCTCATTTTGTTCTAAGGGAGAGGACAGTGAAGATTTTCACACCTGAACCGCCGATCCTTCTGCACAAGATCGGTCCCTTCGGCTCCTGCCCCCCTCCCTTGTCCAGCGGTCTTGTAACTGGACTGTTCCTGATAGGGTCTCCGAAGTTCAAACTCACAAATGTCAAACTGGGAGCAGCAGTTGTGCCCGTGCAGCCGCTGCATCCCAACTGACATGAATGGGACTGCCTGCATGGAACACTTGTGCTGGCAAAACACTTCCTACACACAGGTGTATGCTTAAAGTGGAACTTCAACCAAAAGGGGAAGTTCCGCTTGTTTGCATTCCCCCCCCCCCTTCTCTTTAACAGTTTTTGGGTTGGGGGAGGGGGGCAGGTATCTGGTTTTGACAGGTACCTGCTCCCGCTTCCGGTTGGATCTCCCTCCCCCCTCCTTCCCCTGCAGCCTTCTAGGACACTTCATGGGTCCCAGAAGACTGCAGGACCATTCACAAATGGCAGCGTGCTTTGCACTTGTGCAGTGGGATGCTGACCGGGAAGCTGCAAGCTTCACAACCAGTTTCCCTTAGTTAGGATGCCAGCGCCTGGACCCAAAATGAATGGAAAAGTCGGCCCAGATAAGGACGGCGCTGGATCCCTGGAGGGGAAAGTGTCCTTATATTAACAGTCTTGTTATAATAGAAAAAGAAGGAGCACTCGATGTCCAAAAGAAGGCACTTTTTATGGTAGATTAAGAGGCATTTAGTGAGAGTAACGACATGTACATTAAGCCAAAGCGTTTCAGGAGAACAGCCTCTCCCTTCTTCAGGGCTATGAACATATATGAAAAACATACAGAGAAACAAAGAATAAAATGTGTATATTAAAAAAACATTATGTCAATTATGTCGAGGCAAAAATACCAAGGTAAAATATATCTTAAAATGACATCAAATTAAAAAAAAATTATATATATATATATATATATGTGTGTGTGTGTATACTGTATATATATGTGTGTGTATACTGTATATATATATGTGTGTGTATACTGTATATATATGTGTGTATGTATGTATATATATATATGTGTGTGTGTGTGTGTATTTATATATATATATATATATATATATATATTAGAATTACAACAAAAATATAAATCAAGAGTTCCTGTTCATGATCCAAATAATCAAAATGGAAATAAATCAATAGTAATAAAAAACAAATAATCAAAATAAATAAATTATTTGTAGCTGACTTTTATTTTTTTTTGGGGGGGGGGAGAAGACAGAAGCTCCTCTGTAAGTGCGCCCATGTTAATGTGGCCTTAGAGTTCAGCAAAGGGGAACAAAATGAATAAGGGGGGTGGAGGAGCTCAGCTATGAGGATCAATGACATAGATTACAGTTGATTCTTCTGTAAAAGAGGTTCTTACCCATTTCAATACCGGGCAATTTTACACCTTCCTGCCCAGGCCATTTTTCAGGTTTCAGCGCTCTCATACTTTGAATGACAATTGCGCGGTATACAACATTGTACCCAAACTAAAATTTTATCATTTTCTTCACACAACTAGAGTTTTCTTTTGGTGGTATTTAATCACCGCCGCCGGGGTTTTTATTTTTTGCTAAATTAACAAAAAAAGGCCAAAAATTTTGAAAAAAAAAACACGTTTTTCTTTGTTTCTGTTATAAAAGTTTGTAAATAAATAATTGTTCTTCATAAATTTAGGCCGAGATGTATTCTGCTACATGTCTTTGGTGAAAATAACCCAAATTAGGATGTATTATTTAGTTTGTAGGAAAGTTATAGAGTTCACAAACTATGGTATAGATCTGAATATTGATCAATCCTGAAGTACTGACAGCCAATCTAATTTCTTGAGGTCCAAGAATGTCAGGACAGTACAGATATCCCCCAAATGACCCCTTTTTGCAGAGTAGACAGTCCGACGTACTTCATAAGAGGAATGGCAAGTTTTTTTAAGTTGTATTTTTTTTGTCATAATTTTTCGGAAAATGAAAAAATTAAAAAAATTATTTTTACATATTGTCACCAGTGCAGTACAGCGTCATCATATAACTGGCATGGCGGTGTTTAGGGACACTGACTGGTGACAGTATGAAAAAAAAAAATATATATATTTTGTTTATTTTGTTTTATTTTTTTATTATTTTTAATTTTTTATTACTTTTTTTTTATTTTTTTTAAGATTTTTTTTTTCATATTTTACTATGACCAAAGTAGTACAATGTTACCATAGTAACATTGTACTACTTTGGGGAAGTGATCAGTATTTTTTCTTTTTTACGCAATTTGCTTATAACAAAGAATTACTTTGCCATAAGGAAGCATTTACCTGAATGACATCGATTAATTCAGGTTTTTTTTTTTTTGTGCTTAGCTTGTGCATGTGACCTGCTGTGACCATTCACAGCTAGGCACTAGTATACAATGGATGGCATGAATGAAGCCATCCATTGTATACAACTGTCATGTGACCTGCTGTGATTGGTCACAGCAGGTCACATGGTACCGGCAACGGGGGCCGGTACTCAGATCTCTCATCGGCCGTGTCCGAGGTACATGGCCGGTGACAGATCGCGCCGCTGCACGGCTCTTCAACCGCGCGAACTGCGCATGTGCGGGAGGACGCCAAATGGCGTACACCCCAGAAAGCTAAAGCATTTTTGCGGCCGCCAAACAGCTGTAGGCCAGGCGGCTAATGGTTAAAGTATAACTAAAGGCAAAACTTTTTTTTTTAGGTTTGGATAGAGTGGAGGTGGATTAGACCCCCTTGTCAGTTTTTATTGCTGTCTGTGTCCCCGTTACGTAGATCCCCCCCCCCCTCTCTATTTGTCCTGTTTATCATTATCATTGAAATGAAAAAAAAAAAAACCCCACATTTTGTGTGGTTCCCAAAAAAGAGGAGACATTTTCCAATTGGGAGTCTAGTTCTGGTGGCCTGGGAGTCCCCAAGGAATTCCTGTAATTTCCAGGGATTTCCTGTCACTTCTGGGGACATCTCTGCAATAGGACATAGATGGCGAAATAAATCTGACGGGATATAAGCCTCTCTTGCTCTGTCCAAAATAAAAATAAAAAAAGTTTTGCCTATAGTTCTTTGATTATGTAGTACTATCCCCCTAAGAGTTGCAATAGATTTGGGTCCACCTATAGTCCTGTGCAGCCAGGCAACACGCATTTTCCACTCAGACATGCAGCCAGGAGACAGTGAGCAGTCCTTGGGCTTGTTTTGATGTTTTATTAAGGGATGATAAAACTTGGATAGGGTGAGGGGTGTAAGGGATGCCCAAGGAAACTGAAACTGGAGGACAAACGTTCTGAAACAATTTTCAAGTCTTCACAGCAAAATTCCTCTTCTGGAGAGCCAGCCAGCCTCTCCTGATGTACCATCCCTGACCCCAGATCCTCCTTAATCCAGCAGTACTAGGTATATCCCTGGACAGGGGATCCAGTGCCTGCCACTACAATGTGAACAGTCCCAGGTAAAAAGTGCATCCAGTTCCCCACCAGAGTGCTCCTTTCCCCTTACTGTCCCAGAGGGTGCAGGTTTACTCACTTGGTCGCTCTCCTGTGCTTCTGGTGGGTAGGTGGCTGCTATCAGGCCTTCTAGATGGGCCGCTCCTTCCCTGCCACACAGGTGGTCCTCTCTCAGGGGGCCGATGAAGTCCCAAGTTTTCAACCTACCAAGGTCCTCTACCTGCAGGTGTGCCCCTCTCCATCTGGGCCACCTCACAGGCTCCTGCCTCCAGCCTCTCACATCTCTTTCTCTCTCTCTCTTCCAACCAAACTGTCCTGCTGTTGAGCAGGCTAAGTTACTCTTAGAAGTTGTTCTGGCCCCCTGCCAAGCCTCCTGTTGGGGATTGGCCAGGATCCCCTAAGAGTACAAGCTAGCCACTCCACAGATCCGCCCACTGCTTCCAGGCCTTTCTCCAAAGTTCTAGAGCAGGGGAAATTCTAGAGGGGCTGGTTTGCAGAGCCTCTCAGCCCTGACCCGATTTTGACCCCCTGCTAGCTATTACTCCCAGGCTGCTACTCAGCCCTAGCTAACAATTGGAGTCTAGCTCCCCCTAGTTACCTAGGAGGGTGCTGCATTCACCCCCACCTGCTAAAAACAGCCATATCCTCATTGGCTGGGGGACATATAGGAAAAAAAGGCCCAGGAGTGGGGCATCCCATACAAAATGGGGAGGGGGGGGAAAAAATATTTGCAATTAAATATTTGTGTAAAAATAAAGTCTGTACATTTTACATATTTACATATGGTACAAAAGAAAACATATGGACAACCTGACTATAGCTAGCTGCAGCTAATACCAGGAAATAACAGAGCACCCAAAAGAGCATATATACGCATTCACTGTACAATGGTATGGAGCACAGGGGCGGACTGACAACTCATGGGGCCCCCGGGCAATAGGGGATCATGGGGCCCCTGTGTCCTTGCCCAAACTCAAAAAAGCCTATGAAAAAGGTACCAGGGGCATCTCATGGGGCCCCCTACTGACCCCAGGCCCTCGGGCAGTGCCCGAGTTTCCAAATGGTCAGTCTGCCCCTGATGGAGCACCTCCCCCTTGAAGGAAATCCTCCATGCATAAGAAGTCTTCCTCTTGGTCCTTGAAGCAGGCAGACAGCCATCTGGAGAACCTGCAGAACAGTGGACATAAAACACATATAAAGACAAAATGCAACCCTAACTTAATAATAAGGCACTTCAGCAACTCTTCGGGAGGAGCCCCTCCAAAAGAAGTGATAAAGACTAAGCAGTCTCCTAGGATACTTTCAGACCAGCTTGTCTGGAGCAACAAAAGACAGAATCCAGCCTGGTCCATAAAGAATATACGTAAGGCCCAACTATGGTGGGAATCCTCTTCAATAATAATGTTTAGGGCTGGGCAGTTTAATGGTGGAGCCCATCAGTCCTGTGAGCAGAAATGGAATATGTCACTTTAGGCCTTTCTGCGCTCGTGACCACCACTCTGTCTTTGTGGATGGCCCAACCTCTGCTCCACTCCTCTTTAATCTCTAAGAGATGTGAGGTAGGGACCCCTTAAAGACTTAGGGACATGTAGATAGTCCCAGACAAAATTGTCTTACCATTCTTGCCTGGAGTCACTGATGGTGTCCATGACGCTCTGAGGAACATAGGGGTAGTACCTTCTCCACTCCAGAGCTACTCACTTCTGTATAAACCTCAGGAAACAAGAAAACCGAGGCAAGTTGTCCTTGCCCCCTATTCCTGGGTAGACACAGGGGTTATGAGCCCTGAGAACCAGCATTTGAAATTCCAGGTTCTTGATGCTTGTCTTAGGCCCAGGATCAGGGAATTCAGACCTTGGCTGAGGGGACATCCAGACAGGCTCATCCCCTAGTGAGTTCCCTGACAGCCCTGTCAAGGAGTCTTAGTCCTTAGTGGTATCCCCCCAGTCCCACTCTTCTTCAGAATCCTCCAGGGACCAGTCCTCTTTCTCCTCCACCATTAAAGGGCAGAACATCACCAGAATTCTAGGGGACCCCCAATTTACCTCCCCACCACTGACACTCTCTGTCGGCTCACCCAAGGAATGGCTGTCCTCACTGACTGGCTCCTTCCAGAAGAAGCACGTAGATCAGCAGTCCTGACTTTACTGTGTTTTCTCCAGCTACATGCTTGTTCCAGGTAAGCAACTCGGAAAGTGCTGAATTCAGGGGCAGCCAGGCAGTTGGCCTTTTCAGAAGCATTTCTGCAACTGTGTTCCATATGTATCCTTCAATGCAGCTTTCCTTTAAGGGGGCTCCTTTTATACGGGGAATCTGCAGCCTTGGGGAGAGGTTGGGAATGCTGCGAGGTTCGGCGTCAATGCTTAGTCAGTGGATTTGAGCGCAGAGCACCCATGGAGCAGAACCGCTGGCAGGCAGCCATCATGCACATTCAGCTTTCTGTGGAGCGAGGGGGGCTCCTGACCCCTTGCAACAGCTGAGACGGGGGGAGCGGTGACAATGAACTCAACATGGGAGGAGGGGGAGGTGGGGGGGTCACAGCCGTCACAAAAAGCTGACAAACTACAGGACAAATTCTCCTGAGCGCCTAAAGGGTTAATCCCAGGGGCGGACTGACAACTCATGGGGCCCCCGGGCAATAGGGGATCATGGGGCCCCTGTGTCCTTGCCCAAACTCAAAAAAGCCTATGAAAAAGGTACCAGGGGCATCTCATGAGGCCCCCTACTGACCCCGGGCCCTCGGGCAGTGCCCAAGTTTCCAAATGGTCAGTCTGCCCCTGGTTAATCCTTTCCTAGCCATGGAAATGAACATTCCATCCTTTATCAAATAACAGATTTCCGGGTTCACACTAATGCGGTTCGGGGCACCGCATGTAATGCGCATAGGAAACGCACCTCATTCCTGTGCCAATTACATGCGATGTCTGTGCGCTGCGATTTGAGCCAATTTTGTAATGCTCAAACCGCATCGCATCCGCACTAAAAAGGTGCAGGGGCCTTTTTTTTTTACTCGCACCTGAATCACACCGCATGGGCGTCCTCACCCATGCGATGTGATTTCTGGCAATCGCATTGTGTTTTGCGATCTGTTTCAGGGTGTCATTAACCTCCTTGGCGGTATTCCCGAGTGTAGCTCGGGGTAACATTTCAGTACCACAAACGGTAACCCCCCGAGCTACACTCGGGAATACCATGCGGCGCTGCTCCGGCATTTGTTCTTCACTTACCTTTGCCTGCGCTCCCACGATGTGTCCCCTGCAGCGTCCCCGGCCATCTCCTCCGGCCGATGCCGGCATCCGGCTTCTGTGTCCGGTCCCTGTGACGTCGGGACGTACGGGCGCCGCTGGCGGCGGGAAATTTAAAAATTTAAAAAAATGTCTTTTTTTTTTTTTTACATTTTACATAGTAAAACATTGCTGTCTCAACCAATTTCACATACATTTTGTCCCGAGTGCTTTGTCCGGCGCCCTGCCTGCATTTTGTCTGTTCTTTCTGCCTGGAAACTGAGAAATGTCCATGGCGTCCAAAAAGTGTCCCTTTAGGTCAGAAGCGGTTTTAGACCGGCTAGAGAACAGTGATAGTAAATCAGAACCACTTGCAGAATTGAGTGATAATGATTCGTGGGGGAAATTCGTCATCAGACACTGAAAACGATTCTGCGACTTTGCTCAGCGATGTGCGAACTTGGCGCTCTATTTCACATTTCAGTGTTTTTGGTTTGATTATATTATTGAATTAAATGTATTATTATTATATTATTATTTTTTATGATTATTTATTAAATTATAATTTATGATTACGTGTTTAAAATTTTATCCTACCCGGGATGTTTACTAGACTCTTGTTCAGACAGATTTCAGTGAGTTATTCCTAAAAATTACAGCCTACAATAAAAAACTACATATTTCCATGCAAAAAAAGTACTGCTTTCAGCACCAAAAATCGGAAAGAATCATACCGCCAAGGAGGTTAATGTAACACTGACACCTGCACCAAATCGCATGCAATTGCTATGTGGGAAACAGGATTTGCAACGTTTCTTGGACCGCATTAATGTGAACCCGGTCTTAGCCGGGGTGGGGTGCCAATGAGCATATGACAATTTCTTCATCTGGTTGGTTGACGTAGGTCAAAGGTCAGATTTATAGCCACACCCCCGACACTTATCCAAGATCCGCCATCAGTAACCTCACCCATGACCTGATTTTAGATCCAGCGTGTACCTCCGAAGATCTGCTCTGACCTTTCACATCGGATGGTGAAGTCAGAGATGTGAGTGACTGGAGCCTTTACATAGAGAATTCCTTCTAGACTTTGTAAAGGTTTGTTCTACGATAATATACTGAGAAGGCGGCACATGGGAGGTGATTTACTAAAGGCAAATAGACTGCGCACCATACAAGGTGCAGTGGCTCCAGAGCATTGTGGATAAAGAGATTCACTTTGTAAGGGATACCCAATCACATGCAAGGAAAATCGAAAACAAAAGTACTTTTGAATGCACATGATTGGATGATGGAAGTCAGCAGAGCTTCTGCTCATTTATTAACCCCCCCGGCGGTATTCTTGAGTGTAGCTCGGGGTAAAGTTTCAGTTCCAAAAGCGATAACCCCGAGCTACACTCGGGAATACACTGCAGCGTTGCTCCGGGATCCCTCGATCACTTACCTTGTCCTGCGCTCCCGCGATGTGTCCCCTGCAGTGTCCCCGGCCATCTCTTCCAGCCGATGCCGACATCCGTCTTCCAGTCCCTGCGACGTCGGGACGTACCGGTGGCAAATTTGAACATTTTAAAAAATGACATTTTTTGAAAACGATTATTACATAGTATAACATTCCTGTTTCAAACCATTTCACATACATTTTGTCCCGAGTGCTTTGTCCGGCGCCCTGCCTGCATTATTACTGTTCTTTCTGCCTGGAAACTGAGAAACGTCCATGGCGTCCAAAAAGTGTCCCTTTAGGTCAAAAGCGGGTTTTAGACCGGCTAGAGAACAGCGATAGTAAATCAGAACCACTTGCAGAATTGAGTGATAATGATTGGTGGGGGAAATTCCTCATCAGACACTGAAAACGATTCTGCGACTTTGCTCAGCGATGTGCGAACTTGGCGCTATATTTCACATTTCAGTGTTTTTGGTTTGATTACATTATTGAATTAAATTTATTATTATTATATTATTATTTTTTATGATTATTTATTAAATTATAATTTATGATTTCGTGTTTCAAGTTTTATCCTCCCCGGGATGTTTACTAGACTCTTGTTTGGACAGATTTCAGTGAGTTATTCCTAAAAATTACAGCCTACAATAAAAAAACTACATATTTCCATGCAAAAAAATGTACTGCTTTCAGCACCAAAAATCTGAAATAGTCTGAGGTACACGGCCGGTGACAGATCGCGCCGCTGCGTGGGTCTGCAGGTGCGCAAACTGCGCATGCCCGAAAGGACGCCATGCGGAATCCACCTGGAAAGGTGAGGGTTTTTTGCCGGCCGCCATTCGGCCATAGGCCGGGTGGAAGAGATTAAATGCCAACAAAAGAAAGCTCTATGCGTGTGAAAAAAAATGATAAAAATTTCATCTGGGTACAGTGTTGCATGACAGCGCAATTGTCATTTAAAGTGTGACAGCGCTGAAAGCTGAAAATTGGCCTGGACAGGGAGGGGGAGGGGAAAGTGGTTAAAGGAGAATTGTACAAAAAAGTGATTGGTTGAACCCTCAAGTGCTGTTTTTTTTTTATCACTACTATTCCTTTATATTGGCTTTTGGAATTTACAATGCAGCAATTAAAAAATTGGATGAAAGGTTTAGCACTTTTTGATAGATCAGTAATACATTTTATATACAACTATAGAGATCAGACCAAAATGAGGGACAAATGAGGAGGAAGGAGGGACAGAGGGACAAATCAGGGACAGTCCCTAAAAATCAAGGACAGTTGGAAGCTTTGCATTTGCACTCTGCAAGAGCAGTTGCTCCAGAGCTTAGTAAACAATCAGAAGGTCTGCTGACTGCCATCATCCAATCATGCGCAAGCAAAAATAAAAAAATAAAATAAAGTGAAGCTTTGCCTCATTTACTAAGCTCTGGATCACCTGCACGGGATTTTTGGCGAGTTCAACAGGTTTTTGTTTTTTCACCTATATAACAAAACACTTTCATTGATATTTGTATAAACCAAAAAGGGTAAATAAGGGTTTATTGTTTGGGTTAACAAACTTAAAGTGTTAATAAGCCCCGGACCCTGCATTCACTATATCTGCTCTACCCGGACCCTGCATTCACTATGTCTGGTCTCCCCGGACCCTGCATTCACTATATCTGGTCTCCCCGGACCCTGCATTCACTATATCTGCTCTACCCGGACCCTGCATTCACTATGTCTGGTCTCCCCGGACCCTGCATTCACTATGTCTGGTCTCCCCGGACCCTGCATTCACTATATCCGCTCTTCCTGGACCCTGCATTCACTATATCCGGTCTCCCCGGACCCTGCATTCACTATATCTGGTCTCCCCGGACCCTGCATTCACTATATCCGCTCTTCCTGGACCCTGCATTCACTATGTCTGGTCTCCCCGAACCCTGCATTCACTATATCTGGTCTCCCCGACCCTGCATTCACTATATCTGGTCTCCCCGGACCCTGCATTCACTATATCTGGTCTCCCCGGACCCTGCATTCACTATATCTGGTCTCCCCGGACCCTGCATTCACTATATCCGCTCTTCCCGGACCCTGCATTCACTATATCCGGTCTTGCCGGACCCTACATTCACTATGTCTGGTCTCCCCGGACCCTACATTCACTATATCTGCTCTCCCCGGACCCTGCATTCACTATATCTGGTCTCCCCGGACCCCGCATTCACTATATCCGCTCTTCCCGGACCCTGCATTCACTATATCTGGTCTTGCCGGACCCTACATTCACTATGTCTGGTCTCCCGGACCCTACATTCACTATATCTGCTCTCCCCGGACCCTGCATTCACTATATCTGGCTCTCCCCGGACCCCGCATTCACTATATCCGCTCTTCCCGGACCCTGCATTCACTATATCTGGTCTTGCCGGACCCTACATTCACTATGTCTGGTCTCCCCGGACCCTGCATTCACTATATCTGGTCTCCCCGGACCCCGCATTCACTATATCCGCTCTACCCCGGACCCTGTATTCACTATATCTGGTCTCCCCGGACCCTGCATTCACTATATCTGGTCTCCAAGGACCCTGCATTCACTATATCTGCTCTCCCCGGACCCTGCATTCACTATATCCACTCTCCCCGGACCCTGCATTCACTATATCCGCTCTCCCCGAACCCTGCATTCACTATATCTGCTCTCCCCGGACCCTGCATTCACTATATCCGGTCTACCAGGACCCTGCATTTACTATATCTGGTCTCCCCCGGACCCTGCATTCACTATATTCGGTCTACCCGGACCCTGCATTCACTATATCTGGTCTCCACGGATCCTGCATTCACTATATCCGCTCTCCCCGGACCCTACATTCACTATGTCTGGTCTACCCGGACCCTGCATTCACTATATCTGGTCTACCCGGACCCTGCATTCACTATATCCGCTCTCCCCGGATCCCGCATTCACTATATCCGGACTCCCCGGCCCCTGCATTCACTATATCCCGCTCCCCGGACCCTGCATATCTATATCCGCTCTTCCCGGACCCTGCATTTACTATATCCGGTCTCCCCGGACCCTGCATTCACTATATCTGGTCTCCCTGGACCCTGCATTCACTATATCCGCTCTCCCCGGACCCTGCATTCACTATATCTGGTCTCCCCGGACCCTGCATTCACTATATCCGCTCTCGCCGGACCCTGCATTCACTATATCCGCAATTCCCGGACCCTGCATTCACTATATCCGCTCTTCCCGGACCCTGCATTCACTATATCTGGTCTTGCCGGACCCTGCATTCACTATGTCTGGTCTCCCCGGACCCTACATTCACTATATCCGGTGTCCCCGGACCCTGCATTCACTATATCCGGTCTCCCCGGACCCTACATTTGCTATATCTGCTCTCCCGGACCCTGCATTCACTATATCCACTCTCCCCGGGACCCCACATTCACTATATCTGGTCTCCCCGGACTCCGCATTCCCTATATCCGGTCTCCCCGGACCCTGCATTCACTATATCCGCTCTACCCGGACCCTGCATTCACTATATCTGGTCTCCCCGGGCCCTGCATTCACTATATCTGGTCTCCCCGGACCCTGCATTCACTATGTCTGGTCTCCCCAGACCCCGCATTCACTATATCTGGTCTCCAAGGACCCCTACATTCACTATATCTGGTCTTGCCAGACCCCGCATTCACTATATCTGGTCTTGCCGGACCCTGCATTCACTATATCTGGTCTCCCACAGTACACAGAACATGGAAATGCAATTATTTTAGTAAATATAAACTGCTAAATACATTTTCTCATCAGCAGTATATATAGCAGTCTTGTGACTTCTATCAGTGTCCAGCAGAGCACTGGTTAAAGCTTGTAGGAGGATTTTTCATTTTGCTCTAGGAGGATGCAGAACCCCTGATCTCTGTCTGGACAGTGCTGATTGGCCCTGTGCTGATCCCATGCACTCTCACAAAGAAAAAAAAAAACTCCCTAGCAATACACGCCAAACAGAGCATGTGCAGACTTGCCACTGCTGTTCTGTAACATGGCAGAATGATCAGGGACTGTGGAAGAAGGGAAGGATCAGTGTCTGGCCAAGCACTGGGTAAAGCTTGTAGGAGAAATTTTCATTCTCCACTGACTGTCCTACGCGGCTGCATAACCCCTGACCCTCTGTCTGGACAGTGCTGATTGGTCCAGTGCTGATCACATGCACCCTCCCAAAAAAAAAAAAAAAAAAAAAATTTCTAGCAATACACACCAAACTAAGCATGTCAGTCAGTGCTGTTCTATCAGCAGATGAACTGGGGACAGTAGAAGAAGGGGAAGATCAGAGAAGACAGGATCACACAATGCAGAGGATTAACCCCTTAGGTTCCACAGTGAGTATATCTAGCACGCTTTACTGCATCTACAGACTGATTGTACTGTTGTGGGTTTAGTAACACTTTAACTGTTTGTTCAGCAAAGGTGCTGACTGTACTGCCTTTCATAATTATCCACTAGAGGGAACCTTTTCACACGTCTATATGAAATGCGATAATACAAATATGACACAAGAAGAATGTATAAATGTGTGAAATGTGTGCCAGCGATTGTCACAATCGGAAGGATGGTCACTGAGGAAGCTGTATGGTTGGCTGCCTGATGAATATCAATGTGGTTCCATTCTAACCTCGGCTCTCTGCTCTCACAGTTTGATCACCTGGACTCTGATTGGCTGGGAATGCCACCCGTTCCATCCGCCCGCTGCCTCTTCGGTCTCGGGGATTCGGAGAATTCCATCTACCTGATTGGTGGGAAAGAGCTGAAGGAAGGAGAACAGACCCTGGACTCAGTCTTGTGCTACGATCGCCCGTGAGTAGACAGATAGGAGTAGTCGTCAGGGGCTACTATAAGGGGGAACCCGATTCCTTCTGGAAGGTCTAGCGGCCAGCTTGTAGGTTTAGTAGGCATAGAGTCATATCAATTACACTTGTACCTGGCCGGTGAGGACTGGTAACCTTTGACCTGGGGGGGAACCAAACACAACCAACTAGCCCATTCATGGTAAGGATGGATTTCTATGGGCTAGTGTGCCATGGTGCCCCATTGGTTGGTTGACATGGAGGAAGGGTAGGTGTACCTATGGGACTTGGTTTATGGCGATAACCTTCTAGCATCAGCACCCTTTGCAGCAATGGACGTTGATTGCTCTCGATATTCGGTCACATGAGCTGCAAAGTAAGTTGATGATAGGAGATGACACATTAAAAACCCCCCGCATTGGAGTCAGTGAACACATTACTACCTGTCAGCATTGGAGTCGGTGTACACATTAATAACCCCCAGCATTGGAGTCAGTGGACACATTAATAACCCCCAGCATTGGAGTCAGTGGACACATTAATAACCCCCAGCATTGGAGTCAGTGGACACATTAATAACCCCCAGCATTGGAGTCAGTGGACACATTAATAACCCCCAGCATTGGAGTCAGTGGACAGTGGACACATTAATAACCCCCAGCATTGGAGTCAGTGGACACATTAATAACCCCCAGCTTTGGAGTCAGTGGACACATTAATAACCCCCTAGCATTGGTGTCAGTGAACACAATAATAACCCCCAGCATGGAGTCAGTCAGTTGGGTCAGTATACGCATTAATGAACCCCCTGTCACAGGTGTCAGCATTGGAGTCGGTGTACACATTAATAACCCCCAGCATTGGAGTCAGTGGACACATTAATAACCCCCAGCATTGGAGTCAGTGGACACATTAATAACCCCCAGCATTGGAGTCAGTGGACACATTATTACCTCCCAGCATTGGAGTCAGTGGACACATTAATAACCCCCCAGCATTGGAGTCAGTGGACACATTAATAACCCCCAGCATTGGAGTCAGTGGACACATTAATAACCCCCAGCATTGGAGTCAGTGGACACATTAATAACCTCCCAGCATTGCAGTCAGTGAACACATTAAAAACCTCCAGCATCAGTGTCAGTTGGGTCAGTCAATACGCAATAATGACCCCCAGCACAGGTGTCAGTAGGCGCATTAATAAGTCAGCTTGAAGTCAGTGGACACATTATTACCTCCCAGCATTGGAGTCAGTGGACACATTAATAACTCCCAGCATTGGAGTCAGTGAACACATTATTACCTCCCAGCATTGGAGTCAGTGAACACATTATTACCTCCCAGCATTGGAGTCAGTGGACACATTAATAACCCCCAGCATTGGAGTCAGTGGACACATTATTCTCCAGCATTGGAGTCAGTGTGAACACATTAATAACCCCCAGCATTGGAGTCAGTGAACACAATATTATTACTTCCCAGCATTGGAATCAGTGAACACAATAACCTCCAGCATTGGTATCAGTTGGGTCAGCATACACAATAATGACCCCCAGCACAGGTGTCAGTAGACACAGTAATAACCCCCAGCATTGGTGTCAGGAGGAAATAGGGGAAGGAGATTCCTATCCCACAGTGTGTGACTGTGGGAGGATATTAGAGTGTAAGCTCTTTTGGTACAGAGTGATAGGACTGGCTTAGTGTTCTCTGTACAGCACTGTAGTATATGTCAGAGCTATATAAATGTATAATAATAATAGCATGTGACTGTGGGGGAGGGGACATTTGAGTGTAAGCTCTTCTGGTACAGAGACTGATGTGACTGTGGGGGAGGGGACATTAGAGTGTAAGCTCCTCTGGTACAGAGACTGATGTGTGACTGGCTCGGTGATCTCTGTACAGCACTGCGGTATATGTCAGAGCTATATAAATGTATAATAATAATAATAGAGTGTAAGCTCTGTGACTGATGGGTGGGGGAGGGGACATTTGAGTGTAAGCTCCTCTGCTGTACAGGGGAGACTGTAATGTACAGAGATTGATGACTGGCTCTGTGATCTCTGTACAGCACTGCGGTATATGTCAGAGCTATATAAATGTATAATAATAGTGTGATGGGGACTGTGGGGGAGGGGACATTAGAGTGTAAGCTCCTCTGGTACAGAGGCTGATGGGACTGTGGGGGGGGAGGGGACATTAGAGTGTAAGCTCCTCTGGTACAGAGATTGATGTGACTGTGGGGGAGGGGACATTAGAGTGTAAGCTCCTCTGGTACAGAGATTGATGTGACTGGCTCTGTGATCTCTGTCCAGCACTGCGGTATATGTCAGAGCTATAAAAAAGGAACAATTATTGTGGGTGATTGTGGGGGGGGGGGGGGAATTAGAGTGTAAGCTCCTTTGGTACAGAGACTGATGTGACTGTGGGGGAGGGGACATTAGAGTGTAAGCTCCTTTGGTACAGAGACTGATGTGACTGTGGGGGAGGGGACATTAGAGTGTAAATTTTTGTTTATTAAAATCTTGCAAAACAAAAAACATCATAAAAATCATATTTACATATATACAGTATAAAAAATATGTATTTTCAAACAAAACCAGCTTACTTCAGCAAAATAACAAATCCTGACCGTCACCTAAAACACCCCCTCAGGCTAAGAAACGATTAAACATTCACCCCACACATTCATCCCACACATTCATCCCATACATCAATCCCATGCATGCAGCCTTTTCTTCAAAAATTTGATGTTACAAAATCTAGGGGACGTGAAAGGACAGAAAGAGAAGCCACGCCCCCAGAGACTGACAAGACAGCAGCTACGGGGACCTGACATTCCTCCACGCCTTTGTCCAGGCTCCCGGCCGCCACCTGTCCTTCTCAAGACCCCGAATCTTCCCAACCTCACCCAGAATGTTGTTCACCACCACCTCGACAGGAAGGACTTTTTTTACGAATGGAAACCTGACACCGTGCATTTCCACGTGTAGTAACGGACTACTAAGCTAACTAGAAAAAGTGTCTCAAAATCAAAGTCCCGGTGAGTCTGAAAGGCTCCGTAAGACCACTCCGCATAACTCAAGCGGGAAAGGAAAGGGATCCCCAGAGCCCCCCCACCCGCTTGTAGACTTCTATATTGAAGGGGCACTGAAGCAAGAAATGGTCCATCGTCTCCTCCACTCCACCACACTCCACTCTTGGACAACCACGGTTCTCCGCAGAGCGATGCTTCAGGTTGCCCTTCACATAGAGTCTGCCATGGAACGAGAGCCAGGCCAAATCCCGAAACTTTAAAGGGATTCTCTCCAGATTCATCAAACGCAGACCCTCCCTCATAACCGGGCCTGGGCAATCCCTCAAGGCCAATGGCTCGCTAAAGGCAGATTCAACAACCCTCCTCTCCAGGGCCTTCCTAGGAAGAGATTTAATTTCCTCCGCCGTCACTCGCCATTGCCGAAGCATTTTCAGACACGGGGCAACATAAGCCGGGAGCTTACCATGTTGGACCCTCAGGCTTTTCACTGGCCCACCATTCTCCCAGCTCCGTAGAAAAGGCCTAAACCAGGACTGAAAAATACCAACCCACCCAGGCGGTTCCTCTGCCAGCATGCTACCAAAATTATGTTTCAAAAACATCAGAGAAAAGAAAACCACCGGGTTGACCATACCTAGGCCACCCATCCGCCTGGGAAGGTAGGTTACAGACCTCTTAATGAGGTTCAGTTTGTGCCCCCATAACAGCTGGAAGAAACAACTGTAGATCCTCGCATAGAGAGACACTGGCAAAACACAGACAAAGCTGACATACAGAAATACCGGGATCAGGTAAGTTTTAATCAGGTCAATCCTTTCCCTGTAAGAGAGTTTCCAATCCTTCCAGCTGGCCACCTTGGCATCGGCATCTTGTAGCCTGCTTACCCAATTTGCAAGGCCGTAATCACCGGGACCAAATCTGATGCCTAATACTTTAATTTCCTGCTGGGGCTCTGGGAAGGCGTCCGGAAGGGTAAAGCCTTCGCCTTCCTCTCCCATCCAGAAAAACCTCACTCTTATCCTGATTGATCTTTGAGCCAGATGCCTCAGCATACTGTTCCATCACCGAGACCACCTCCTCTGCCTCCTGCGTCCCGGAGATGAAAACAGACACGTCATCAGCATAGGCCACGACCCTCAGAGGGGGGCTCCCCAGGAATGCCCAAAGGAACTCCACACAACGGTCCGCTCTCTAACCTCCGAATGAAGGGATCGATTACAAACGCATATAGCAGAGAGGACTCAAAGGACACCCCTGACGCACACCTGAGCCAACCTCAAAGGGCCGTCCAATCCAACCATTCACAAGCATGAAGCTTTCAGCCCCTCTGTATAAGGTCTTTAGCCAATCGATAAAGCCCCCCTCCAGGCCATACTTGCCAAGAAGCAGCCATAGGTACTCATGATTGACTCGATCAAAAGCTTTGGCCTGATCCAATGCCAGCAGGAACTTTCCCCAGCCTGCAGCCCTGCACCGCTCCAGGGCCTCCCGGACAGCTAACACCGCTGAAAAAGTGCTTCTTCCCTGAACCGAACAGTGCTGATGGCGAGAAAGTAAATTGCCCGCAACAGACGATAAACGCCAGAAAATAATTTTTGCCAATATCTTCCTATCAACATTGAGAAGGCTAATGGGCCGCCAATTCTCAATTCTCGAGGAATCCTTACCCTTTGACAGAAGAATCACTGCAGATTGTCGCATGGAGGGAGAGAGCGAACCCTCTCTCAGACAGCCATTAAACACCTCCACCAATATGGGGCCAGAGTCACCTTAAAGTGCTTATAAAACTCGGCTGTCAATCCGTCTGGCCCAGGCGACTTCTTCATGGCAAGCTGATCAATAGCTTTCACCACCTCATCTGCCGTGATGTCCTCTGTCAAACTCACAAGAGAACTGCCATTTCCCAGTCCTGGAGTAGAGTCCAGAAAACCCAACATGCTCGCCCGATCGAGGTCCCTCCTACCCAGGAGGTCAGCATAATATGACCTGGAGGTTTCCAGGATCCCTGACTTGGACTTTGTCATGGAACCCGTACTGTCAACCAGGCCTACAACTGACTTAACTGCTCTACCTTGTTTGCAGTTCTGGTAAGGGTCGGGCGAGTGATATTTCCCATAATCCCTTTCCAGAACCAAAGAGGCATGCCTGTCATATTGACACTGCCTGAGCAAGAGTTTAACCTCAGAGATCGCTTCTGGATCTCCATTATTCGAGACAAGCCGATCGAGCTTCCTCCGCAGACGCTGGTAGGTGACATACTTATCAAGCTGTTTATTCCTTCCTATGGCCTTGAAAAACCCAACGATCCTTCGTTTTGTAAGCTCCCACCACTCGGACTTACTGCTGCAAACGTCCATGATTGATACCTGTGCCTGAAAAAAATCCTCAAAGGATTGACTCACCTTCTCATCGTCCAGGAGTGCCGAATTCAGCTTCCAGGTACCCCTCCCCTTAGGTGGTGTATCGGGGCCACTCAGAGTCACAGACAGAATACAGTGATCAGAAAACTCCACCGCCTGACACACTGGTGCCGAGAAGGCGGAGTTCCCCTTTAAAAAAAAACCTATCTATTCTACTCTGACTGGAACCTCTCTGAAAAGTGAATCCCGTGTCGTCTGGGCAGCAATGAATGTGCACATCAACCAGACCTGCCTCTCTAGCTATTTTGTTTAAAAAAAACCCGTCACAGTCCAGCCTGACTCCGGTCCCTCTCCTGTCCTTAGTCCTAGTGATGGTGTTAAAGTCACCACCGAAGACAACTTGCTGGGCTGTAAAAAGGAAAGGCTTGATCTTCATGAAGAGGCATTTCCTGTCCCATTTTGTCTGGGGCCCATAGATGTTAATCAGGCGCAGGTCCTGCCCCCCCATGGAGACGTCTAAGACCATGCATCTCCCCATTTCTACCTCAATAATCCGCCGACAGGTTACCATGCCGGAAAAAAGTACCGCAACTCCAGTGTAAGGCTCGGCCGCAAGAGACCAGAAGGAGGGCCGCGCCTCCACTCCTTCTTCGCCATATGAACATCCCCCAAACTGGACAACCTGGTCTCTTGCAAAAAGAAAATGTCAGCATCAAACCTGCTGAGCAAAAATAAGGCCATGTTACGAGCGCTTACTGATTTATGCTGGCGACATTAATGGTTGCCACCTTCAAAGGAGTGGGAACCGCCATCAGGATGATCGAGGTACCCGTTTCTTAGCCTGCTTACCCCCCTCCCTACTTGGAGACCCTACACGCTTCATAGTCCTCTGTGTTTCCTCCTCCATGGAAACCAGAGACTCATCCCCTGAAGATCCCTCATCCTCCACCTCAGATAACACTTCAAATGTGTTTGACACCTCCACCCTCCCAGGGTCAGGTACAGGCACATCCTTCTTCCGCTTCTTCTCCCCAGACTTCCTTTTTGCCTCCAACCACTCCATATCATCATTTGATAAACCGGCCCCGCAAAGCCCCCTCCCCTTCCTTCCACCATCACCAACAACATCATCCACCCCACTCTCTCCACTCACCACAGCAGTCCCCCCAACCTTCACCCCAACACCCCCACCATCATTCACTCCACCCCCCAGCGCCTCACGCGCTCTGACCCTCTGACGCCGGGGAGGGGGGGTCGGTGCAACCATACACATTGGTCCAGTTCCCTCCACAGCCCCCACTACCTCTGGGGAAACTGACACAGGAGGATCAGACACAACATCCACGGACACTGACTCAGGGGGCACAACACAAGGAGATGACACATTAGAGGGACCATCAGACACTGGGACCACAGGGACAGAGACATTGGGGACCCCTGGCACAGCCTCCCTCTCCTCTGCCTCCTCCATGTCCAGACGAAAAAACTCTTCCACCAAAGCTGACTGGTTGTGCATGGCCTCAGGGCACCGGTTGTACGAATGGCCAACCTTATCACACAGATTGCACCTGATGATATTACAATCCTTAGCCAGATGCCCCAGATCCTGACATAGGGAGCACTTCATCTCTGGACATGAGGAGGCGAAGTGACCCCGAGAACCGCACTTATTGCAGAGCTTGGGCTGCCCAGGGTAGAACACCACAATCCTGTCCTTCCCAATGAAGGCTGAGGAGGGCAGATGCTGGACCACATTCCCACACACATACAACCTCATCTGCACCGACCACCCACCAGTCCATATCCCTCTCTCATCCACGATCTTCCTCAGGGGTGCAAGTAGCTCCCCAAATCTCCTCAGCCAGACAGCCAAGTCAGCCGAAGGAATGGACTCATTCCGTACTAGAATGGTGACCGTCTTCACTAGAGGTTGGCGTGAGACCACCTTTGGGACGAGTCCCCTCCATTCCGGCAGACCCTTATACATGTGTTCATACTTCTCCCAGAATATATCCAGAGACTCGGGGCGCACAAAGGACAGATCATATTCATAGGATCCTACAGGGCTGATCAAGGCGAAGATATCATCCGCCCTAAACCCCATCTCCAAAATCCTGTCCACCACCGACATCCTGACCGGGGGAGCACCCCCACCCTCCCATCTGAGCTGACACCAAATTCCTCCTCCTGAAGGACAGTGGGTGCAGATGGCAGACCCTGCAGCAGACCTCCCCCCAGAGCTGACAACATGATGTGACCCCCTCCTCCCAGCCAGAGCCCCAGCATAGGTCTTATTTGCAGCATTAGATGTAGTGGACCTTAAAGCTGCACCCCGCCCATTGGTTGCAGGAACCTCAGAGCCCCCGCTCTGCAGACCACCATCAGAGGCGGCAGCAGTCACTCCATCCACCAACACACAGGCATTCCCCTTTCCAGCATTGCAAGCACTCTTATCATCCATATGTTTCCTTTCACTCGTGGCACTACTGCTCCCAGCAGACCCACTCACACCAGATGCTCCTGTCTCCCCCTCCCCCAACATACTCCTCTTAGGCAAAAGCCTTCCACTCCTGGTCACTCTCCCCTGGGTTTCAGCAACCCCTTTCAGAGTGCTGCTGACAATTTCCCTCCCACCATTTTCTGCTGCATTTGCAGCCATCAGCAGGGATTGTCCAGCAATAGTCTCAGATCCCCCCTTTACCTTCCCCCCAGCAGAGTCCACAGTCCCAGGGTTCCTGGTATCAGAGTCCTCAGTCCCAGCAGAGTGCAGTCCTGCAGGCACAGCAGCCATCTTCCCTGCAGAGCTCTGTGCACACACAGGAGGATTTCCCTCCAAAACACTGCAGTGCACATGGCTGTCCACACTGGAGTCCAAAAAGGCACTTTTAATAAAGCGCGGCTTTTCTGTTTTTTTTTTCTCCTTTACAGGACCAGGTACAGAGTCCTCACCGTCATCTTCATCCTCAGAGTCCTCAGAAAAACGGAAAGTTCTTCCAATTAGGGAAGACTCCAATTCCTCAATGTACTTTAGCAGCCCTCCACCATATTCCTCTACCTCCTGTGCTGATCCTCCAGCTTGCTGTGGAGGGAGGGAAGCAGAGGCTGACATTTCCTCCAGGGAAGCAGATCCTGAGGTGGATGGGATAGCAGGGGCAGCATCCAGGACCCCCTCCACACTCTCCACCCGTACTGCCACCGCCGATGCTGGATCCTTACCGGAGTCTCCCTTCATCTTCCGGAACCTTTCCTCATTCCGGAACTTTTCTCTGAAAGCTCCGCTCTTCTCCTTCAGCGTCTTTACCAGATTCTGCTGCTTCTTAATGGCGACCTCCAGACCCTTCATCTCCGGCTTCATGCTCTGCCTCTTGCTGCTCCATGACTTGTCATGGAGAACTTTCTTTTTCTTGTAGTCAGTTTTCAGACTCACCAACTTTTCCTCCTCCTTTGCGATTCTCACCAGATAATCAGCAACCCGCTCTCTAAAGACAGGGAGGGATTCCCCACTTTTAGGGCCACAGCCAAGGTCTTCAGGTGCTGGTAAAGTATGGGAAGGCAAGCTGGGTCCCTCAGGGGGAGCATGGTCTGAGCCTAGCCCAGAAGAGGCCATGTTTCTGGGGCCAGGCGAGCAGCCTGGCCCCCTAGTGTCTGGAGAGGGAGAGCAACTGCAGCACAACCTCTCTGGTGCAGAGTGTAAGCTCCTGTGGTACAGAGACTGATGTGACTGTGGGGGAGGGGACATTAGAGTGTAAGCTCCTGTGGTACAGAGACTGATGTGACTGTGGGGGGAGGGGGACATTAGAGTGTAAGCTCCTTTGGTACAGAGACTGATGTGACTGTGGGGGAGGGGACATTAGAGTGTAAGCTCCTCTGGTACAGAGACTGATGGGGGAGGGGGACTGGCTCGGTGATCTCTGTCCAGCACTGCGGTATATGTCAGAGCTATAAAAAGGAACAATTATGGTGTGTGATTGTGTGGGGGGGGGGGGGATTAGAGTGTAAGCTCCTGTGGTGCAGAGTATGATGTGACTGGTCTTCTGTAATATTTGTCAGAATGCACTCGATACATTGTTTCACCGTTCTATAAATGTTGCCTTCATATAGGTCCATTTATTTTTTATGTCTCATTAATGTCTCTGTTAATCATTTTCAGGTCCTTCAAGTGGGGGGAGTCGGACCCCCTGCCCTATCAGGTGTACGGACACTCTGTGGTCTCCCATGACAATCTGGTCTATGTGATCGGAGGGAAGGGGAGCGATAAGTAAGTATCACACTGATATCAGGCCGGGCTATGGAGGCTCCACTGTCATACAGGACCTGGTCTTTAGTTCTCCCTGGTCCTGGGGGTCACATGCCACTTGTACAGGCCCATTGCTGAGGTGCCAGACACCAGAATGCTGACAACCATGACCACATCTGTAATCACAGCACTTTATGGGGCTTTTATGATATCGCTTTTCTTTTCTTTGAAAACTTTAGCTGCTTCGGCTTCGGAAATATGAAATAATTCCAGTCCGTCTGCTGAAATGTTTCAAAATGGGGGCCACTCTGGAGGGTCTTTGCTACAATCAGAGGTTTCGGTCCCAGTGTTGCTGGATGGAATACCAGTACATATGGTGGCCAGGGGCGGACTGACAACTCATGGGGCCCCCGGGCAATAGGGGATCATGGGGCCCCTGTGTCCTTGCCCAAACTCCAAAAAGGCCTATGAAAAAGGTACTAGGGGCATCTCATGGGGCCCCCTACTGACCCCGGGCCCTCGGGCAGTGCCCCAGTTTTCAAATGGTCAGTCCGCCCCTGATGGTGGCAGATATGCAGGGCATAGACGGTTCGTTTATCGGACATTTTTGTGCCCGAAAGAATAATCGGCCGATTTTCGTACTGTTTAGTGGGGCAATGGTATCAGCCGATTTTCGCGGTTCCTCCTCATTTCGTTTATCGGTCATGCTGGAAAATTCTTGAAAAATGGCCGATTTTCGCAATCATTGGTGGCAACATCGGTTTACAGAACAAACGATGTTTCCTTTTTTGGACGAACCGATAAACGAACCGTCTATGGCTTGCATTAGTCTTGCTGGTGTATATTTTGCACTGGATTTAAAGTGGCTGTAAACCTCAGACATGAAATATGAACAAAGCACATCCCTCTATAGTGTGTACTTGTCTCAGTCCAGAGCACTAACCCCGGGTTCACACATATGCGGAGCAGTATATCGCATGTGATTTGCGCAGGAACCGCACCGCATTCCTCTGCAAATCACATGCAATTTGTGCGATCGGAGGTGTACATTTTGTATGGCTCTAATCGCACCGCACCTGCACCAAAAAGGCGCGGGACCCTTTTTTTTTGGTCCACGCTAGAATTGGATCTCACAGGTATTCCCATCTATGCGATTCTGCACATTGCACTGCGTTTTGTGGACCGTTTTCAGGGTGTTGTTAATGTAACATACACATCCGCAGCGGTTCGCATGAACGGGGTGCGATTCTGATGTGGTGCGGAATTCGCACAGAAAACGCTGCAAATTCCACACCGCATCAGTGTGAAACAGGGCTAGGTGTAATTTCTATCTTCTCCTCTTTCCTCTGTTATCAGCACAAGTCACTTTCTGATAAATTTTCCTGACACCAAAAGAAATAATGGTGACAGGGGAAGGAGCTCCAGCACACCACCTGTGATTGACAGCCTCAGCGCTGTGTGAAGGGGGACGTGTCCCTTCCCCCCCAGTGAGCACTCACTGAGCTCTGCAGAGTGTAATTTCAGTTCCCCACCTCCTGCTCTCTGAAAGCTGTATAAATTCTGCACTTTGAAAAGATGTAGAGAAGAGAGGACTTCAGGTAAACAGGTACAACTTACGTAGGAGGAGGATTTGTTTCATCTCTGTGTATCACCTGAGGCCAGTGACTTCACTGGGGATAAGGAAGGGTTCACAACCACTTTAATTGCGTTCCTCCGGGTGATGTATTACAAGGGGTGCAGGCAGGGGCAGACTGACCATTTGGAAACTCGGCCACTGCCTGAGGGCCCGGGGTCAGTAGGAGGCCCCATGAGATGCCCCTGGTACATTTTTTCATAGGCTTTTTTGAGTTTGGGCAAGGACACAGGGGCCCCATGATCCCCTATTGCCCGGGGGCCCCATGAGTTGTCAGTCCGCCCCTGGGTGCAGGTATGGAGGCACTGCGTCATTCTCTACAGGGACGAGTAATTCCAGGAAGCTGCTACTTTGTTGCTCTCAGTTCCTGACCCCATTGATCAAATCATATAGATCTCAGTTCAGCTCACACACTCTTCACTCTCTGCAGGAAGTGTCTGAACCGGCTTTGTGTCTACAACCCCAAGAAGTTCGAGTGGAAAGATTTGGCCCCCATGAAGACGGCTCGCTCTCTGTTCGGAGCAACGATTTTTACAACGGGAAAATCCTCATCGCTGCCGGTGTCACCGACACGGGGCTCACCAATACCATCGAGGCCTACGATATCAGGACTAACAAGTGAGTGACACCAAATCATCGAAAAACCTTGTCACCAAATGACAGCAAATTTCAGCCCTGTCCTGTCCTGGCTTCACCATTATGGCGCATGTGCAAATGGCCTGAGGGGCTCTGCCTGGCCTGCGGGTCCCGGCAGACAAGAACCCCTTGGTGCATCTTTCCACATTCTCCATGTATGTGCGAAGACGGGAAAGGCTTGGGACTTCCATGATGGCTGTCTTTGGGAATGCATGGGAAGGTGGGCATGGAAACCAGCATGTGCGCAGCTGTGCTACACGGCTCGCTTAGGACCCGAAGCCCCGCGGCACATCTGCACATGCACAGGGGGTGGGGAGAGAAAAAGTCAATGGCATCAGTAACCTTTTATGTAGCCACCTGGAGAAGGAGAATACTAGAGAGCAGCCATTCTCAACCGGGGTTCCTCCAGAGGTGGCCAGGGGTTCCCTGAGCTGAGGCTGACTTCCCATATGATGGTGCCTGCATACCCACATGGAAGAAAAAATATATTTGAAATACTACAATTCTGGTCATATTCAATATATTTCAAAATATATTTACATATATATATATATTGCATGTTGAAATGCGTATTTTTAATATATTACAAAATATTTTGGCCATATTCAATATATTTCAAAATATATTGCATTTTTTGTTAATATATTACACAGTAATACAAACGCAATTTAACATACAGTGTGTGTGAGTGTATGTATGTATGTATGTAGATATATATATATATATATATATATATATATATATATATATATATATAATATACACACACACACACACACACACACGGAGGTGGCCAGGAGTTCCTTGAGCTGAGGCTGACTTCCCATATGATGGTGCCTGCATACCCACATGGAAGAAAAATATATTTGAAATACTACAATTCTGGTCATATTCAATATATTTCAAAATATATTTACATATATATATATATATTGCATGTTGAAATGCATTTTTTTTTATATATTACAAAATATTTTGGCTGTATTCAATACATTTCAAAAAACAAATAAATAATAAATAAATAAATAAATATCTAATAATATATATATATATATATATATATATATATATATATATGTGTGTGTGTATATATACAGTCATGGCCGAAATTGTTGGCACCCTTGATATTTTTCCTGAAAATCAAGTATTTTCACACAAAAAAGGTATTGCATTAACACATGTTTTGCTATACACATGTTTATTCCCTTTGTATGTATTGGAACAAATATAAAACAGAGGCAGCAGAAAAGCAAATATGACATAATGTCACACAAAAAACCCCAAAAATGGGCTGGACAAAAGTATTGGCACCCTTAACTTAATATTTGGTTGCACACCCTTTGGAAAACATAACTGAAATCAGTCGCTTCCTATAACCATCAATAAGCTTCTGACACCTCTCACCCGGAATTTTGGACCACTCTTCCTTTGCAAACAGCTCCAGGTCTCTCTTATTGGAAGGACACCTTTTCCCAACAGCAATTTTAAGATCTCTCCACAGGTGTTCAATGGGATTTAGATCTGGGCTCATTGCTGGCCACTTCAGAACTCTCCAGCGCTTCTTTGCCATCCATTTCTGAGTGCTTTTTGACGTATGTTTGGGGTCATTGTCCTGCTGGAAGACCCAGGATCTTGGACGCAAACCCCAGCTTTCTGACACTGGGCCCTACAGTGCGACCCAAAATCCTTTGGTAATCCTCAGATTTCATGATGCCTTGCACACAGTCAAGGCACCCAGTGCCAGAGGCAGCAAAACAACCCCAAAACATCATTGAACCTCCACCATATTTTACCGTAGGTACTGTGTTTTGTTCTTTGTAGGCCTCATTCCGTTTTTCGGTAAACAGTAGAATGATGTGCTTTACCGAAAAAGCTCTATCTTGGTCTCATCTGTCCACAAGACGTTTTCCCAGAAGGCTTTTGGCTTACTCAAGTACATTTTGGCAAACTGTAGTCTTGCTTTTTTATGTCTCTGTGTCAGCAGTGGGGTCCTCTGGGTCTCCTGCCATAGCGTTTCATTTCATTTAAATGTCGACGGATAGTTCGCGCTGACACTGATGCTCCCTGAGCCTGCAGGACAGCTTGAATGTCTTTGGAACATGTTTGGGGCTGCTTATCCACCATCCGGACTATTCTGCGTTGCAATCTTTCATCAATTTTCCTCATCCGTCCACGACCAGGGAGATTAGCTACAGTGCCATGGGTTGCAAACTTCTTGATAATGTTGCGCACTGTGGACAAAGGCAAATCTAGTTCTCTGGAGATGGACTTGTAACCTTGAGATTGTTGATATTTTGCCACAATTTTGGTTCTCAGGTCCTCAGACAGTTCTCGTCTCCTCTTCTGTTGTCCATGCTTAGTGTGGCACAGACAGACACACAATGCAAAGGTTAAGTGAACGTCTCTCCTTTTTATCTGCTTTCAGGTGTGATTTCTATATTGCCCACACCTGTTACTTGCCCCAGGTGAGTTTACAGGAGCATCACATGCTTGTAACATTCTTATTTATCCGCAGTTGTGAAAGGGTGCCAATACTTTTGTCCAGCCCATTTTTGGAGGTTTGTGTGACATTATGTCGAATTTGCTTTCTTTCCTCCCTTTTTTTTGTTTTGTCCCAATACACACAAAGGGAATAAACATGTGTATAGCAAAACATGTGTTAATGCAATACGTTTCGTGAGAAATACATGATTTCCTGGAGAAATATCAAGGGTGCCAACAATTTCGGCCATGACTGTATATATATATATATATCATGTTGAAATGCGTATTTTTAATATATTACAAAATATTTTGGCCATATTCAATATATTTCAATAAATAAATAAATAATATATATATATATATTTTGGCCATATTCACTATATTTCAAAATATATTGCATTTTATTTAATATATTACACAGGAATAAAAACACAATTTAACATACAGTGTGTGTGAGTGTATATATATATATATACAGTATATACACACATGGAGGTGGCCAGCGGTTCCTTGAGCTGAGGCTGACTTCCCATATGATGGTGCCTGCATACCCACATGGAAGAAAAAGATATTTGAAATACTACAATTTTGGCCATATTCAATATATTCAAAATATATTTACATATACATATATTGCATGTTGAAATGTTTTTTTTTAATATATTACAAAAATTTTTGGCTGTATTCAATATAATTAAAAAAATAAATAAATAATATTAACAAAAAAAATAAATAAAAAAATAAATAAATAAATATATATATATATATATATATATATATATATATATATATATATATATATATATTAGTACAAGTACTATTCTCCTCCAAACCCAGACACATCCACCAGATTGCCAGACACAGAAGTGTGATTGATCACTCCAGAGAACACGTCTCCTCTGCTCTAGAGTCCAGTGGCGGCGTGCTTTACACCATGGCATCCAACGCTTTGCATTGCACTTGGTGATGGAAGGCTTGGATGCAGCTGCTCGGCCATGGAAACCCATTCCATGAAGCTCTCTACGCACTGTTGTTGTGCTCATCTGAAGGCCACACCAAGTTTGGAGGTCTTTAGCTATTGGCTCTGCAGACAGTTAGCGACTTCTGCGTACTGTACGCTTCAGCATGCGCTGACCCCGCCCTGTCATGTGACGTGGCCTACCACTTGGTGGCTGAGTGGCTGTTGTTCCCAGTTGCTTCCACTTTGTTATAATCCCACTAACAGTTGAGCGTGGAATATTTAGTAGCCAGGAAATGTCACGGATGGACTTATTGCACAGGTGCCACCTATCACGGGACCACGCTTGGAGTCACTGAGCTCCTGAGGGCGACCCATTCTTTCACCAATGTTTGTAGAAGCAGTCTGCATGCCTAGGGGCTTGATTGTATACACGTGTGTCCATGGAGGGGATTGAAACACCTGAATCACATGATTGGGAGGGGATTGGGATTGGGAGGGGATTGTAACACCTGAATCACATGATTGGGAGGGCGGGGACAATACTTTTGGTAATAAAGTATATATATAAATATATGATCAGCCATAACATAGGATAACTGACAGGTAAAGTGAATCATCTGAAAGTGGGTGGAATATATTAGGCAGCAAGTGAACATGTTGTCCATGAGGTTGATGTGTTGAAAGCTGAAAAAATGTTCATGGCAGTTTGTTGTGTATGGGGGCTGTGTAGCCGCAGACCGGTCAGGGTGTCCATGCTGACCCATGTCCACAGCCAAAAGCACCTACAATGGGCATGTGAGCATCAAAACTGGACCACGGAACAATGGAAGGTGACCTGGTCTGGTGAATGACGTTTTCTTTTCCATCATGTGGATGGCTGGGAAGGTGTGTGTCACTTACCTCAGGGACAGATGGCACCAGGATGCAGTATGAGGCAAGCCGGCGGAGGCATTCTGATGCTTTGGGCGATGTTCTGTTGGGAAACCTTGGCTCCTGCCATTTATGTGGATGTTACTTGATACGTACCACCTACCTACATATTGTTGGTGACCAAGTATACTCCGTCATGGAAACAGTATTCCCTGGTGGCAGTGGCCTTTCTCAGCAGGACAATGTGCCCTGCCACACTGCAAAATGGTTCAAGAATGGTTTGAGGAACACAACAATGAGTTTGAGGTGTTGACTCGGCCTCCAAGTTCTCTAGATCTCAATCCAATTGAGCATCTGTGGGATGTGCTGGAAAAACAAGTTCAATCCACAGAAGCCCCACCTCCCAACTTACAGGACTTAAAGGATCTGCTACTTACAGCTTGGTGGCAGATACCACAACATGCCTTCAGAGGTCTAGTGGAGTCCATGCCTCGATGGGTCAGGGCTGTTTGGGCTGCAAAATGGGGACCTACTCAATATTAGGTGGGTGGTCATAACCTTTAAGCTGATTGGTGGATATACACGCACACTGTCTAGTCACACACAATCAAATCTGCTAAATATTTAAGAGTCGTCTGTTGCTGACCCTCTCTGGTTCCTTAGGTGGGCAGATTTCAAGGAGTTCCCCCAGGAGCGCAGTTCCCTCAGCCTCATCAGCATGGATGGAACGCTATTCGCTATCGGAGGATTTGCCACAGTGGAGAACGAGACTGAAGAATTGGTGCCGACAGAACTGAACGACATCTGGAGGTGAGGAAAAAAACCTGGTGGTGCGTCTTCTCCATCCACATCCTCTAAAACCCAAACGCTTATTTCCATAGGGTCTGTCTAGTGAAAGGAAGTGAGCAAAAATCTTACCAATGGATCCCTGGATAGCAGTGAAATCCTAACAGGGGATTTTATCCTTCGTCACTTTATCAAAAACTTTTTGTTTTTTACATACACTTTAAATCCATTTTAATTTCACGCGAACACTAGAGAAGCTCAAGAGAATACTTACACAGAGCGCTGTGCTTCCCCTCTATCAGCCTTTGGATTGCAGATGTCCACATAGTTACATTTTGTAAAATATAAAAAAAAACACATTTCAACATGCAGTGTGTGTATATATATATACTGCATTTGGAAATACGTTTTACAAAATATATGAAAAATATTTTTTTTAAATATTTTTTTAAAATATATTCTTCAGATTAATAACCCCCAGCATTGGAGTCAGTGGACACGTTGTTACCTCCCAGCATTGGAGACGGTGGACACATTATTACCTCCCAGCATTGGAGTCAGTGAACACATTAATAACCCCCAGCATTGGAGTCAGTGAACACATTAATAACCCCAGCATTGGAGTCAGTGGACACAATAACCCCCAGCTTTGGAGTCAGTGAACACATTAATAACCTCCAGCATTGGAGCATTGGAGTAACCTCCAGTGGAGAACACATTAATAACCCCCACCAGTGGACCATTAATAACCCCCAGCATTGGAGACGGTGGACACATTAATAACCCCCAGCATTGGAGTCAGTGAGACAGTGGACACATTAATAACCCCCAGCATTGGAGACGGTGGACACATTAATAACCCCCATCATTGGAGTCAGTGAACACATTAATAACCTCCAGCATTGGAGACGGTGGACACATTAATAACCCCCATCATTGGAGTCAGTGAACACATTAATAACCTCCAGCATTGGAGACAGTGGACACATTAATAACCCCCAGCATTGGAGATGGTGGACACATTAATAACCCCCATCATTGGAGTCAGTGAACACATTAATAACCTCCAGCATTGGAGACGGTGGGACACATTAATAAACCCCCAGCATTGGAGATGGTGGACACATTAATAACCCCCAGCATTGGAGATGGTGGACACATTAATAACCCCCATCATTGGAGTCGGTGGACACATTAATAACCCCAGCATTGGAGTCGGTGGACACATTAATAACCCCCAGCATTGGAGTCAGTGAACACATTAATAACCCCCAGCATTGGAGACGGTGGACACATTAATAACCCCCATCATTGGAGTCGGTGGACACATTAATAACCTCCAGCATTGGTGTCAGTTGGATCAGTATACACAATAATGACCCCCAGCACAGGTTACATACAGTAGTTACATAGTTAGTCTGGCTGAAAAAAGATAAAAGTCCATCCAGTTCAGCCATAGAAAAAAAAAAAATGAATTGAAATGTTTTCTGTATGTTGCCCTTCCAGGTATAATGAAGATGAGCAGACGTGGGACGGAATGCTCCGCGAGATCCGTTATGCTTCTGGAGCGACTTTCATCCCTGCACGCTTCAATATAATGCGGCTCACAAAAATGTAACGGGACTCCGCCACCAAGGGCTGGACGGGATACGTTGTGGAAAACTGGGGGGAAAAAAATTAAAAAGGAAAGAACTGAACTTGGGATGTTACGTGGCCAAGTCTGAACCTGACCTCGGAATGAGTGAGAAGGGCTCAGAACGTTTACTGAAATATTTGGATTTCTTCATTTTACTCATTTACAGTCATAATGCCAACATATTCCACAGCGATGTACAAAGGACACTGAGGAGCTTACAGTCCAATGTCCACCGCATTGGTGGGACTTGAAGGCTTGCTGTGTGCCTGTTACTAAGGTGTTTGTGCTGGAAGGAAAACTAAAGCAGAGCTGAAGTGCGATGTACGGATGTAATACCTTCCCTTGCCCCTAGTTTTGCTCAACATGCAATTACAATTTTTTACTTAGATCACTTTGTTTAAAAAACAAAACAAAAAAACAAACCTCTTTTGGAGACCACTGGGCCTTTCTGCTAAGCCTTTGTATGGCTGAGGTTGGTGGGAGGGGCTGGCAGGCAGGCTCCTGTAAAACATGATAGTACCTTGCCTTGGATCGTCTTTCACAAGCCCTTGCGTAATTTTGAAGAACACATCTCTGGCATCCCTTTAGATGCGTAATATTGAAGAACACATCTCTGGCATCCCTTTAGATGCGTAATATTGAAGAACACATCTCTGGCATCCCTTTAGATGCGTAATATTGAAGAACACATCTCTGGCATCCCTTTAGATGCGTAATATTGAAGAACACATCTCTGGCATCCCTTTAGATGTGCATGTTCCTCTCTGCTGGATGCTGGGTGCTTCAGACTTTAAGGCTCCATGTACACGGGACGTTTGGAAAACACTTCTGAACGATGGAAAATGACTGCTGGAAAACGTAGGTTAAAAAAAACATCTGTTTAGCCACGTTTATGCGCGTTTTTTTTAAGATAACCTCAGGAGACCTTCCCAAATGCCCAGAATGCACTGAAAAATAGTAAAAAAATTTAACTATTTCAGACATTTTGAGAGAAATAGAGAGAGCAGTATTTGTTGCGATTAGCTGTCTTTTTTTTTTTGTGGTGTTTGGATGTTCCGGCTCATTTCTGTGCAGAAATTATTGCAGCCGTGTCTAACATATTTTCTTTCATGCAAAACCTCAAAATATGGTGTACCGGAAAAGCTCTTTGCGTGCATTTTTCATGATGAAAAAAAGGCTCTAGACAGCATCTGGAAAATGAAGAGTTAAAAAAAATTTCCAAACACTTATAAACACGGTTAGCTGCATTTACAAGCGTTTGGCACGCTGATAAAATCTACTCTTGAATGCAAGTTTGGTGCGTTCAAAAAAACGACTGTAAACTCAACTGTCTGTAAATGACTGTAAACGACAATGTGTACATGGACACATAGGAAAACATTAGGGAGAGTTCAGGGGCTGCTGAAAAAAAAGCAGAAAAGCTCCTAAACGTGAGTTTATCAGCTGCAATGTACATGGAGCCTAACTGTAAAATCTGCTGGTCAGTTGCTTGATTACAGTTTACTAGAGTGTAATCAAGGAACTGATCAGCAGATTGCAGAACTAAAGTTTGCACCAGCCAGTGTACATCAGAGAGGAGCATACACAACTAAAGGAATGCTAGGGTATGGGTTCTTTCACAGTGCTTAGGAATAGCAGTACAGTAATTGACACCCTAAAGATCATGCCCACACATAATAAAAAGCAAAAATAATTGATGGCAGAAAAAGCTAATAGCTGTGAGGGGTGGCCCAAGGACATTAACGGTCAAGAGGAGAGGGGATTGAGGATTGAAGTCGTTCAGACAGTAGGTGGGCTCTAGAAAGCTGAGACTTGCTTCGAAGGTGTATATTGTGGAGATGCAGGTTTACAGGGAATTGAGAGTAATCAGTCTCAAAACAGGAGGGGGAAAAAATGGCAAGGCTGGGGATGGCTTTAAAACACAACTATGGTGACAAAACAATAATAAAAAAAAAGTAAAAATAAAATCAATACTCCCCTCCCCCGCACCCCTTCTCTTTAGCAATTTCTACCTGTTTTTTTTTTTTTTTAAATTTAAATAAAGGTTCCGTCACCCACCTACATTCATCCTAATTCATGGTCCCATGATCTTCTGCCCCACCAAGTCTGGTTATGGCCTACTGGAACTGCTCTGCTTTCTGGACTCTGGCCGGTCTTTTCTTGCCACCGCTGGTCTTGCATCGTACGTGATGATGGCAGCCCACCCTCGTTCCATTGCTTGGAGTAAGCGGGACTGGACTATTACGGGACTGTGGGTCTTGTAGCACCCCATGTCATTGACATCTTCACCCATGCATTGTAATCACTACAAGTTCCCCGTGCACCAGGAGATGTGGTCCCTGCCAGAGGTGCCCACCACCCAACTTCCAGCAATTAACATCAGAGGAGCGGGACACCAGGAATTGAGCGATCGCAGATTAGGGAGTATTACTTAATTATTGTAAAAAAAGAGGTGGAGTTTGCTTAAGAGCAGCAGCAGGGGGCCATATTGGGTTTTTTTTTTTTGGCTGTAGTTCCACTTTAACATGTCTATAGCTACAGGGGCGGACTGACAACTCATGGGGCCCCTGGGCAATTTGGGATCATGGGGCCCCTGTGTCCTTGCCCAAACTCAAAAAAGCCTATGAAAAGGTACCAGGGGCATCTCATGGGGCCCCTTACTGACCCCGGGCCCTCGGGCAGTGCCCAAGTTTCCAAATGGTCAGTCCGCCCCTGTATAGCTAGAAACATCACAAAACATTTAGAAAACATCTCTCTCAATAAATTCCCCTTTATAATCCATAAAAAATATTGATCGAACAAAAGACAGACTTTGTGCCTGTGATATCATATATATTTATTTATTTCAGGTACTTATATAGCGCCATCAATTTACACAGCCCTTTACATATATATTGTACATTCACATCAGTCCCCGCCCCCGAGGAGCGTACAATCTAAGGTCCCTAACTCACATTCATACATACACATACTAGGGACAATTTAGACAGGATCCAATTTACCTACCAGCATGTCGGTGGAGTGTGGGAGGAAACCGGAGTACCCGGAGGAAACCCACACAGGCACAGGGAGAACACGCAAACTCCAGGCAGGTGGTGCCGTGGCTGGGATTTGAACCAACGACCCGAGTACTGCCAGGCGGAAGTACTAACCATTTAGCTAAAATCTCATTCATCTCCTGCACACTTGGGGGTCCCGGAATAATCGCGTCCCAATCTCATTCATCTCCTGCACACTTGGGGGTCCCGTAATCGCGTCCCAATCTCATTCGTCTCCTGCACACTTGGGGGTCCCGGAATAATCGCGTCCCAATCTCATTCGTATCCTCCTGCACACTGGGGGGGTCCCAGAATATTCACTCGCGTCCCGGAAATCTCATTCCTCTCCTGCACACTTGGGGGTCCCAGAATAATCGCATCCCAATCTCATTCATCTCCTGCACACTTGGGGGTCCCAGAATAATCGCGTCCCAATCTCATTCATCTCCTGCACACTTGGGGGTCCCAGAATAATCGACATCCCAATCTCATTCATCTCCTGCACACTTGGGGGTCCCAGAATAATCGCGTCCCAATCTCATTCATCTCCTGCACACTTGGGGGTCCAGAATAATGACGTCCCAATCTCATTCACCTCCTGCACACTTGGGGGTCCCAGAATAATCGCGTCCCAATCTCATTCATCTCCTGCACACTTGGGGGTCCCAGAATAATCGCGTCCCAATCTCATTCATCTCACACTTGGGGGTCTCGCGTCCCAATTCATTCATCTCCTGCACACTTGGGGGTCCCGGAATATCGCGTCCCAATCTCATTCATCTCGCACACTTGGGGGTCCCAGACTAATCGCGTCCCAATCTCATTCATCTCTGCACACTTGGGGGTCCCGGAATAATCGCATACCAATCTCATTCATCTCCTGCACACTTGGGGGTCCCAGAATAATCACATCCCAATCTCATTCATCTCTGCACACTCCCCTCCCAATCTCACTTGGGGGTCCCCCAGAATAATCGCATCCCAATCTCATTCATTCATCTCCTGCACACCAGCTGACACTCCACATCAGGCTGACAGTGCAAGTGGCAGCTGGCTGAGGAAATGAGAGAGAAGGCAGAGAGATGGAGTGAATGGTCTACTTAGCCATTTATTTACTTATTACAGGAGCTTGTATAGCGCCGTCCATTTACACAGCACTTTACATATATATTGAACATCCACATCCATCCCTTCCCTACAAGGAGCGTACAGTCTAAGGTCCCTAACTTACATTCATACACATACTAGGGCCAATTTACCTACCAGCATGTCTTTGGAGTGTGGGAGAAAATTGGAGTACCTGGAGAAAACCCACGCAGGCACAGGGAGAACATGCAAACTCCAGACAGGTGGTGCCTTGGTTGGGATTTGAACCAATGACCTCAGTACTGCCAGGTGGAAGTGCTAACACAGCGTACAATCCAGATGTGCTGCTGTGATATAAATAATTATAGGCCCAGAAAATGAAAGTCTCACTCCTCCAGGTGAAGAGGACTCCTAGATTGGCGGCACTGATGGTAAGGAGTGCTGTGTTTTCGGGGTACGCCATGGTCATTATGTCTTGAGAACTTTATTTTGAAGGGTGATAGAGGAAGTGTCCAGGTGCCTGATCTCAATTTAAGGAAGATCCCGATTTTCGGAAGGACAGTATGAAGGTCCGGCTCTGCAATCATCGTACAACAAGAGGACTTTGCCAAATGGTGCAATGAAGCTGCACTGTGACCATTAGATTTCTGTGTATGGTGTACAATGGACGTAGCTTGGCTCATCTTCGTTTACTGGAAGAAATAATCCGATGACATGTCTACTAAATACATATTTTTTTTTTCTAACACGATGGAATCATATGTAGGGGGGATGGGTGACTGTAGAATTTTGTCAATGTTTCTGCTAATAAAATTAAAACTTGTTTTGGAAAAACATCTGATTTTTAGAAGTGCAATT